TATATGAGAGAAAGTATATGGCCGGCAGATAACAGAACAATACATGCCTCTAACATGTAACATTTATATGAATATATTTAAATAATAAACTAGATATAGACGTTACTGATTATATTAAAATATAACAAGAATAAATTATATATACCTATATATTGTTAAGTATAAAAAAATTACAATCCTCGATTAATTAAAAATAATAGAATTGACTTTTTATTGACCATTGATTTAGTACACAACTTTAGTTCTTTTTTATGTGAATTTAAAGAACACTTTGTTTCGTGTAGGTTTATATTCTACTAATTCTATTACTGTTTTTCTTCAAATGTTAAGCGTGGAGCATCACAGATTTTGACATTGTGCCTACTTCCAGGTACAACAAAAGCTGAGTGGTGTCCCACCAGGAACATCTAATTTATAAGTTTATACAGGTAGGTATTATATTATATATTTATTTGAATTGTATGCGGAATGAATGAATAGATAAATAGTCAAATGAGAATCTGTGGTACTATACTAACTTGATTCACAGTATGCTAACATTTGTGAGAGAATGGGTCACTAACTGATGCTAGCGCTTAACGAGAAAGTTTATTCGCCATTTATGGAAACGTGCTTAATCATTAAACGCGAAATTGAGGTACCACTGTCTATTCAATGTTGCTAATAGGAAAAAAATATTAAAAATGATGACAACATTGTATCGTTAATATACTTACTAATTAAAAAACAAATTATTAACTAAACACTTTTAACGGTTTAAAACGCGAAATTGATATTAATTAAGATATTTGGATGTTTCACAGAGTTATATATTTTATTTAAACGTGCATTACTCGCGTTAACTACAGACAATAAACATGCATACAAAGGAACCAATAATACAAGATGTCTGTCAATAAACATATTATCCTAAAATACAAATCGTGAGAAAACTCACAGCAGATGAGTCAATTGCATCACCGCTAACAATCTATACAAATTTTAATTAATTTGTTATGATACAGCTAACAGCGGGTTCAAGCCGTGAATATCATCTCTTCTGGACTATTGCCAATTCTACCTGCACTCGAGCCACATAATAGCCGAATTGTGAAAACAGCTCATCATAAAATATTGTGTATCTTATATAATTTCTTTCGAATATTATAAATAAGTCTGTGAGGATGGACTTGAGAGAGGATTTTTTACACTTTCCCTGCATAAGTGTTCATTAAACGTATAAAGTAGCCAACGCCCATTTTTAGAAGAAAATGTAGTGTGACTATGTACGTAAACCTCGGCGTAGAGCTGCTGAGCTAACTCTACCACGAGTCGAAAAAGAAACAATCTAAATACGCTTCAGTATTGAGGGACCTGGGTACAGGTTGCCCCTCAATATACGTTTGACCTATTCCAAGATTTTTCTTAAATGGGGTAACACCCTGGGATAACTACTGATTGTATTGCAAAAAAATGTTATGTTAATTGGTTAAACGGTTCTAATACATATATTTATCGGTTGAAATAACACGTTTCAGTGAAATAAATGCGTACATCTAGTACTGCATATTTAAGTAGTAGATTGAAAGTTGTATTATGCGGCTATGTTCTGAATGTAGTCACAAGAATGTGAAAATTAAACAGAAACGAAACGTCGGGCCGTAGTTAAAAACAATTTTCAAACAAGTGTAACTAATATATATCGAGTTTTTAATCGTTGAAGTGTTTTATTTAAATGTGTACTACTCGCGTACTGCAGACAGTATTTAATCTTTTAGACAATAAGAATGCATTCTGAAAAAAAATTAAGTTTTTGGCATGAAAGCTACTTTGAAAACGTTAATATTTTTCACATGTGCACATGATGGCACTATACGAATTAAAAACCAATAAAATTGAAAAAAATACTTCTCGCGCAAGACTCGAACCGACATCCACAGCGTTTCTTGCTCTACTGATCAGCTTGTATATTAACATACTATATCAATGAAACTGAATACGTTACGAGACAAATGACAGGGTGCTTTAGTTAAAACCCTGTATTGTAGGTTCGAGACCCGCCCGTATCTAAAAATAATTTATATTATTTGTCTATATACATCTTATAAAATCTTAGTTAACGTACGTTGAAACGTAGCTATCTATTAATTATAGCTGTGACTCCATTTATAACGCTAGATAACTCTTAGCTTATATATAATAGCTAGTGTACATTGAAACTATTCTCTTGTGGCCTCGTCACAACAGTATCGCGTTTCAGTTAAGTACAATGTAAAGGTAATTAAATACGCACACAACAACATCCACGTGTCCATGCTTGCGATCAGTGCAGGTTCATTGACGATCAAAATCAATGTCTATGTGTGCGACGTCTATTTATAATTACTGGCGCAATTACTCTTATATTAAATGAGATAATTTAACTTAAAAAATATGAGCACTGTTTTACTAATCAATATGATGACGTCATGATAAAGTTTGATTGAATACTGTCTGTAGTTTAAATAAAACACTAGTTCTTTTAAGTCTTCCCGTGACCACGGCTGCTGCAAAGCTTTAAAAACGTCAGGCCTTAATTAAAATAATTGTCAAATAAGTTTAACCAATATATATCGCGTTTTAAACCGTTAGTGTTTTATTTAAATAAGTTTGCTATTATTGCTATAATATAACACTTTTGATGTAATCATATAAATGAGACCTAAAACCGAATGATCAAATAGTTCTAGAATAAGCAATCAATTCTAAATCTTTAATACAATTACGAGTTAAACATCTCAAGATCTAACTTTGCAAGTAAATTAAAAATTCATAACTCCCAAAGAGACAAGTTGCTGTCGAAACAATTTTTTTCGCTCTTGATTGAGTTAAAACGAAATGCAATTTATCTCTTTCATTACTCAGATCCTATGGAGTTTTAAGTTCGAGTAGATTCGAAGACTTATCGGGTTTATAAAAAATTCAATCGAATAAAAGTTAACGAGCGAATATTGGAGGCTTTAATTGGGTTACTTCACTTCGCACTATTGTTATAAGAGATGAAACAAAACGAATAAATTAAAAACTATGTATGCGACACCACAGATAAAATAATAGCCCGATCCCAAGAGCACTGGTATTGTTAATCTATCGTTGTTTAAAACGTGACAAACAGCGTCAAAATCTCAATTTAGCCCGAAAAGAATAGCAATTATTCCCGCCGAGCTCAGTCAATTATTTTGTCAACCTTTCTCACAGTTCCGAAGTAAGAAAGATCTATCAAGGACCAATTAGCTGTAAAGTTTTAATAATTCCAAGTGCGACCGAGGACTATCTGCGAGGGTTAATTACGTCGAATCATGACAAAGAATTTCTAATAAACGAGTTTTTTCCTTGTTATTTCTTATGGTTAAGTGTCTATAGTTAATTGTTTTACAAAGACATCTTAATCTTAATCCATTTTTTTAAAGAGTGCTGTGTCCAAATTATTATATGATAATATACGTCCCTGTTGCTCAATGATGAAGTGCGTAACCTAGCATTGCAATTAACATGATAAGTCCTGGGTTTAAATCCAGGTGAAACAATACATTTAAGCAGGGCTCTGAAGTGTGATCAACTAGGTGTGTAGGCTTGTGAAGTAAATTAGTATAACAAATTCAAAGATGTGTTCACAGGGAGGGCCACAGGGAGAAAATTAATTCATTTTGCAATCACCAAAAATTCGACAATAGTAAAAAAAAAGATACAGTATTACTATGTAGTACGTTAACATATTAGGCCGCTAGATGCAGTGCCCTGTCTGCAATTTTATGACTTGAGTTATTTATATTTTCAGTCTACAAATTTTTATCTACAAGAGCACAGTGACCGAAAATTGTTAACATAATTCTTTTATTACACAAATAATAATACAAATTCATTGTCGCCTAAGTTAATTGCGCATTCTATTTTTCCTCCTGATTGAAAATCATATATTTTGTAATTAGGCCACTTTGCCCCTAGCAGCCTCATATATGCTTGTAAAATTGTATTTGGCAAAACACTGGAAATAGGTAATTGCGGACCGTGACCACACACGGAGTAATATGCAAAACAAGTAAATATTGTTTGTTAGACCGCATCTCACCGCGGACAATAGGCATCGGTCAAAAAGGTGACATTTCAGGAAAATTCCTCGAAGGCCGATGCGCGGATGACCGCCACGTCATCTCACACCGTTACGTAACGTCCGATCGTAACTAGCACGTAGTGTTTGCTTTGTCATTCATCTGTACTGTAGTCATCTAATTAGTTTACAACTTACTTTTTTAAATGAATCTCGATGAATGCCAGATATCACTAGGAACTGTTTCAAACAAGAAGGAAATGTACACTTTCTTATTGTTGACATTTTTCGAAAGACTTTTTTGCCTTTCAACACGAATCATTTGAGTTTGAAGAATCAAGTCAACTCATAATAATTATCATACAGTTTAAAAGAGGTGATTAAAAAGCACTTAGTTATCGATTACACGAACGTTTTACTCGTATTGTACACGTTTTTTATCGAACAGAGTGACAAACTTAATTCATCTAGCTAATGAACAGTTGGTGATAAGTAAGTACAAATTTGTTAAATCTAATATGTATTAAAATGTAATAGAGTTGGACGAGAATTGATGTAACTAACTAATTAACAGTTAGGTGCGAAAGTAATGTATTATTTCGTGGTTTCGTAAACACTGCTTTAAAATGTATAAGACTATAAAATGTGTATTTTGTTTCATTGCCCAGAAGTAAGTTCGAGGGTAAAACCTACTTACAATATCACGTAATTATAAATAACCAGTTAAGTATATTTGAATAATAACAGGGTGCAATATCATAAATTATTTTTATGTTGACCATATGGCTAGAAAACAGAGGGGTGTCAGCATGCTGACAATAATATTAGAAATAACAATGCCATGGAAAATTTAACTTTCGTGTTACCTCATTACTAAATAGTGACTGTAATTTTGTCATTTCTAGAAAATGTTGCGATGTAGATAATGTCAGGACTATATGGGCACATCATAAGACGTGTCACCGTGCTTCAAATTAACTTTTATGAAAACTGCATACCTTTGCAAATATTAAATTTTTAGAGATTTTTGCAATTAAAGGGTAGGAAACTAGTGGTAATGAGAAAGAAGGGTTTTTATTAGATATATAATTTTAAATATTTTCTACTAACAATAAAATAGATAGATTGTTTTTAATTCCTAGTTCATAACCAAAATATTCTTTGTAGAAAGCCTAAATCCAATCTATTAAACGATCCGCAAGAGTCCTAACAGTTTTCCTCAATCCAGACATTAATTAGCGTCCTGGCTCTATCAGATTCGTTTTTCCTGCACATTTTCCGCTTATCCGGCCAATACTCGTAAGGGAAACAGCGTTTTACATGACGTAACCTCAAGTAGCGCTGCCAAATGGGTTACAACTAGTCGTGTTCTCTACTACTTCCCTTCACGTCTGCGGTCTGCCAAGGTCATCGGACGACCACCGGCTTCTAACCCTTCTAAGCGTTTAAAATAAACAACACTAACCTGTTCTTTTCCAACTCGTTATGAGTCGTCCTGGAACAAAAATACATTTGTAAACATACATTCACTTCACAACAATAACACTATTTTCACTCGATCACTACACTGCACTGCCGCTGGGCGACTCACCTGCTGCCCTGCGATTTCTTGGTCTTCGGGCGACGTCCACCCGAGCGAGACTCCTCGTAAGCGGGCAAACTGGATGCGTACCCGTGTTCCGATTCTGCAACAAAGAAAACTACAAATCCGTCAAAATCAGCTGATTATGGCGAAGCAAAAATAGACGGGAGCCATGTTGACGTGTGCGAGTAGTGCACTCAATTGACAATTCAAACAAAGAAAACCCAATTCACCTCTATCGCGCCTTTCGATGTATTCAGCGGCTTGGATGAGGTCAGCAATACTCATATTTATTGTATCACGGTATAACACACGCGTTCGCGAACGTAACACGACTTTATTCGATTGAAAACTATAAATAAAAGTACTTCAGTCAGCTCCGAAATTCACGCCTGCATCGGCCGATGTCAAAAACACACTGCCGTTTCGGGACGCGCGACCGTTTACGGCGCTTCGTGATTTGTCGGCACCGCTCGGCGGGCGCTCGGTCGACCAATAGAGGGCGAGAAATGCCCACAATAAAATACCTGGGTCAATCACGTGAACTTTGTGTTTCCAAACAAAACATTTTTTTTCTATAGCTCAAACGCGTAGGGTTAGCATTATTGCGATCTATACTTCTAATATATCATTTTGTTGATAGCTTTCGACATCGGTATTATATTCATTTCACATATTTGGACTAGAATCTCAATGTCACATTACCTTTGTAAATAGTGTGATCGATAGTTTGTTATCAGCTCTTATCTAAAGAACGTTACTGTCACAAAACAAAAACAAATTACATCATATCATACGCCCTGCGGTGCAAGTGGTGGTAAAAGAAAGTATCAATACATTTGTGAAACACTTTTAATGTTCAGTATCCTTAAACAGGTTTTTAAAGTGTCGTTTAAACACGTCAACAAGTAAATTCGCGCAAATATTACTGGTAGAAGATGTTTTCGTGGTTCCTGCAACAATTAAAATAGAATATTAACATTTTAGGCAGTTATTAGCTACTTATATATTTACTTACAAAACAATTAATGCAATACTCATTTCAACAGCTACAATTGACTAAAATTCGAATTCAACTTACAATTAATATCCGCACCTTCCTGTAATATTGACTGACGATTCTGACCATAGAGCTGAGAAAACTGCATATAAGATGTGGCCGAAATTCACATTTTTCTTCTGTTATTTCTACACAATTCTTCAATAACGTTGGTAGACCCAAGATATAGTTAAACACTAGAGACCATTCATCCTGTAAAAAACAATAAAGTCACAATCTCCTTCAGCAAAAACAAAAAATGTAAATGTTCTTATAAGAATTTTACAATTTACAGTGCTACAAATAATAATAAGTTTTATGATAGAAGAGTAAAGACAAGTATGGGGGTATAATACTTTAGCCATGTTACAACTTAAGCAGATGCACTGTCAACCTATATATTAACTTTGGATACTTGGAAATCCAGATACTAAAAATGAACCGCGATTGAACTACACAAAAATTCATTTAAGGACAGTCCTTTGTGATCTTAACGGCATTAACGATATTCCTTCCACTTTTTCAATATCCAGGTTTTCAGAAAAAGTTGAACAATAAAATAAGAGAAAAATTAAAAACTGATTAAAATCCTGTTGGACCAAACCCATTGATTGCCATTCATTATCATCAGACAATAATTTTAGTATAGATTTAATTGAATTCATGAATACACATCATTCTGTTTCAAATTACTATGTCAAGGGGTATACCTCATGTGTTAACAGCGTCAAATCAATATCTTCAAACTTGGGCAAGTGTGGGTAAATACCTTCATTCACTTTATCATTAAATGTTTTAATGATTGTCTCCAGCCTTGCACAATTATATAATATAAAAGCAGCACCTAAAAAATAGAAGATCTTTAATGAATTACATAGACACATGATAGTCTTTTTAATTTGAAATCCAAAGGGTGAAGCTACAACACCCGTACAGAGTGATATGGAAGTGCCTTTAAATTCTGCCTTTTTTTTATTGTTTTTCAATCTTAATAGATTTTTTATCTGCATAAAGTTATACAATTCTTAATCAAATCTATCATCATCCATTTTTATTATTATTTTGTACCTTTGCTTGATCCACTGGATGCATCAAATTGAACCTTCACACAACTAGAAGGTCTAATTTGTAGAAGTTCAAAGGCAACTGCTGATTGGCCGAGATAAGCAATAAACTCCTTCCATTTGGTATCGCTGGACACTCGAACACCATACTTGTGTTGAGCTATTAAAGTTAGTTCCTCTTGTCGAATCCTGTAAATATACAATGAGAAATTATTTTCCAACAAAAAGATTGTAGATTATTTTAATACCCATAGTATTAGTTACAAGGTGGAACTTATTGTTTTTTTATGTCATTAAGATGTAAATATTTAACTATAAAACCAGATTTCAGTACCTGATAAAGTCTGTAGTTTTAATTTCAGTCTCTTTAACACCTGTCTTTATATTCAAAACTGCCCCACACAAAATCAATTTATGATCATCACATTGACTGCTGGATCGAGTTGATATAAATAGTCTTGGCTTTGATTTAGAACATTTAGTGTCAATGACATAAAGGTTTTTTATAACATGGGCAGTGTAATTTAAACGCAGTGATGTTAAGCATGTTTCATCATTTGTATCCAACTTGACATTACAGAATGACTCAGCTGTTATACTGTCTATTATATGTTTGTTATTGGTGAATGATTGTGAAAGACCTTTCCTAATTGCGAACGACCTTTCCATATACAGGTGAACGCGGTCTTTAACTTCAGAAGCATGTTGTATAGGAATATTCCAACTTTTTGATGTCAATAATAAACTTTCTGTATCTTTTTCTATGCACTGCAATAAGTTATCTTTCTCTTTTTGTAAAACTTCACTATCCAAAAATTCACTCCATGATTTTACGGTGTTTGGGAAACTGTAATCGCCCAATACATGTAAATTGTTGGAATGCTTCTTCACAAGCAGTCCCGTAACTTGTTTCTTGACACTGAGAAAACTACAGATATTTGTTGTGAATATTTCTAAAGCATCTTCCATTGTTAAGAATTTTATAAAAGTATTAAAAAACAGATAACTATTAAGTATTTTGGTGTCGTAAAAAGGGTTATCCACTCACTTATATATTTTTTATTATATTATTTGCATTATAGAGATTTTTCTTTTAACTTATTATTTGGTGTTACGAGCAAAAACATTAACCATTAATAATTTCAATAATCAATTAATAAAATTGATTATAAATAACAAAAATAATAACTCGTGCCGTATAAATTAGTTTTTAGGTGACAGTGACAACTGACAGCTTGTTTGAGCAGACTGTGATCAATAGGTGTTTAACTTTACTTTATCTTTTTTATGTGCATTTCACATATTTTTAGTAATATTAGACACTATTATAAAAATTACATTCATGTGTTATCTTACGTAAATATAAAAAAAAACGTCATTAACAACGACAGCCCTGAAACCTTATTTTTAATCTGTACCCAGTTAAATAATGACGTTGCACGACGTTTACATAAACTTGACAGCCAGCTGTGCAGGATTAGTGGTTATGTTTTGTGTATTTATTTTAGCTTAGTCGTTGCGCTATAAATATCTTCGAAATTAAGTATTAAAATTGAATCAAGCTTCTATATTTATACTAATTTATAAGTGGGTCATGTTACGGTTTTAAAATGTTGTTTAACTACAAACTTTTAGTCATAAATGTTATAATATGCAACATAGCAGCCGTCTTTGGCCACGACCACTTACTTGACGGCATTTACTGTGGCAAAGAAAACTGCTATGAAGTCTTGGGAGTAACGAGAGAGGCTACGAAAAATGAGATCGGTAAGAGTTACCGACAGCTGGCGAAAAAGTTCCATCCCGACTTGCACAGAGGCGATGATGCAAAAAAAGAAGCGGAAGAAAAATTCAAAGAAATTGCCACAGCTTATGAAATTTTACGTGATGATGAAGCGAGGTCTGACTACGACTACATGTTGGATAATCCACAAGAGTACTATGCTCACTATTACAGGTACTATAGGCGACGAATGGCCCCTAAGGTGGATGTACGTATCGTCCTTGGAGTAACTATAACAATCATCTCCATTATACAGTACTATAGTGCGTGGTCGAAATATGATACAGCTATTAAATATTTTATGACTGTGCCTAAGTACAGAAATAGGGCTTTAGATATTGCCAAAGCTGAAACAAAAGAGTCACAAGGAAAAGGTAAGAATAAAAAAAGCAAAGCAGAACAGAAAGAAGAGCAGGATAGAATTATACGGAGAGTAATAGAAGAAAATATGGATATAAAAGGAGCTTATGCCAAACCAGAAATAAAAGATATTTTATGGATACAGTTAATTCTTTTACCTTATACTGTGTCATATTATATTTATTGGTATGCTAAGTGGTTGTGGAAATTCACAATTTTAAAGAAACCTTATGGCGAGGAAGAAAAACTTTATTTAATCAGGAAGTTTATGCAACTTGGTCAGCATCAGTTTAATGCTCTTGAAGAGTCAGAGAAGGAATCATTTCTAGACCAAGAATTATGGATTAAAGAAAAGTTTATTGTATGGAAGGAAATTAAAGATGAAGAAACAAAAAAGGCTTTGGCTGAAAATAATAAGTATAAACAATATAGAAGGTATATTAAGAGTCATGGCATTGGCCGCATGACATTTGATGACTCATGATATAGTATAAGTGATTACTTAATATCCCAAAATGCATTTATTTATTTTACATAATAATTTCAATTAGATTGTATAAAAACATTGGTGTCTCATTTTAGATTTTCAACTGTATTTTATATTTGAAGGAGAGAATTATCACATAATGTAATATTTAATAATAATTCACATTTATTGTAATAGTTGTTTCTTAATTTTGTAAACTTCCTAATTCAATTGAATTTATAATCGATTTGTCAACACTGTTAACTATTTCTAAATGAATTTTTAGCATAGTAGTAATGTTATACTGTATAACCAGAGAACAATATTTTCTTAATCACCTCAATCCACCTCTTTACACAGTTGCAATAAAACAAAATGTACACAATTCATTGTTTATTTTCTATTGCTCGTAACATGTACTACAATGATTCAAATGATCAACCACACTGAATTTATTTTATCACACATGGCAATTCTTTAAGGCATTCTAAAGGTGAACCTTCTGCATTACAAACTGGATAGTTTGTAATGCAGAAGGTTTGACAGTGACATAGTCTCTTGACATACTGTAGAGTTATTACACCAAAAGCACGATGGAATTGAATCCATCCCTATTTCACCCTCACAACAGTTACCATTTGATACATATCATAAGATTTGAAATTACCTTAGTTATAAAAAATTAACCATAGTGTGACATAGATGACTCAGTCATCGTAAACACATGAACATGACACTATTTAAGTTCAATAATAAATATAACAAAATAATTTCAAATCCTAATCTCTCACATCTCAACTAAATAATCAAGTTGTTAATTACCAACTCATTACATATTATAATTATTGAGATCCAATATATCATTATTAGTTTGTTTTCCTAACAAATCAGTTACATACATTTGCAATGGCAGTGCGTTTATGACACTATTGTAATATTATAACGATATACATACATTTAATTTGATCTACTTACAAAAATTCACAATACATCAAAGAAATTTTCATGTAATTATGGCAATGTGTTAATAAAATAATAATAAAAAATAAAGCATGTCTTAATAATTATATAAACTTTTGTAAAGCAATAAGGAAATAACCTGGAATGTAATAGAATAAAGTCAACACCAACTGAGCAATTTGATTATCATCTGCTTGGTGAATTAGTCAGTATAAATGATACGATTTTACAAATAATTATTATGGTAATGTGTTCGCAGATTACGCGGCTCGCAAAAGTATAAAACTATTTAGGTATTTAAATTATTTTCAGACGTTAACTCAATTCACCAACCAGAAAACCATCAATAATTTTATAACATAAGAATACTACTGAAAGATTTTTAAATTTTAATAATATTTAATGCCGAAAAAATCTTGTGCGTCACAATAGGATTAAAATGAAGTAGGTTTTGTACACAGAGTGTGCCTACAGATTAAAGTTACCCTCTGCAAAAAGTGGATCTTGTCAAGGTTTAATCGTTGAAATGGTATTTACTTAAATTGGAATATATTTGTTGTTTGCTATGCATTTTAATTTTTTCTCCTATACAAATACATTTCATATCATACCTTTTTCGTTATATAAGTAATTACCATTCCACAAACTGTTATCGTATTTCTAGCAAATATAATTATTATGTCGATTTTCTTTACTTATATGAACACTCACATCCAAAACCTACTTTGTACATAGACACAGTTATTTACACGTTTCAACCGAAAACACATCAGTCCGAATATATTTCATATATATCTCTCTATCTATATAAATGTTTACCCAAAATAATATTTTCGTTTGTGTCACTTTAAAAATAGATATTGCATTCGTTTGGACCGCGAAGTCAAATGAAACTTACGTTGCTACATAAAGACTTAATAGTGCGCTTTATATAGCACGCAACAATGGTTCAAAGGTTGAATCGATCGCAGTCATTACAGGTATGTTTGACACGCTTTACTTTATTCTAGTTACGATTAAGGTGACAGCCGAAAGCTGTAACGACCGCGATCCCCACTGCTTGTTACTATTACAGATACGTCAATTTTTCTCCGTCAAGTCGTTAAAATTATCAAATAGTAAATTAAAATAAATCGCGATTCCAATTTTTAAAATGAAATATTGAATACACCTATCGAGATCCATTCCAATCACAAAGTATTTCAAGCGCATCTAGCCGATATAGTCGATTCTTTAGCCAAATCCTTAAAGCTATTTAGTATTTAGTGATTTTGCATTGCGATGTACTTCCCCACATTTAACGAGAAGCATCCCCATTATTCCTAGCACCTAGACAAATACTTCGATCTTATTTATCGTCTGCTGAATACAAATAAAGTAGAAATCTTCACATCGCCCCATTCTGACCCGAGCTACAGGAACATATATCATTTAACATTCGAAAAATTAGTCTGATATTAATATCTACGTATGAATCGCAAAACATTACGAAGCATGTAGCTGCCCTAACAGAATTTGCAAATTGCTTTGAAGCGAAGGAATTCCCGTTTTAAATATCCGCGGACGAACCGATATCGTATTTAATCACGACAAAAGAAAGTCCTCAAATAACATGGATGCCCTAGCGATGGTCGCGCCTGCGCGGTCGTACCGCCAGGTGCAAAGCGTGACCTCAGACTGGTGTCTCATGATCTGTTTCTTCGATTCTGCCTAGACGCCACGCGTTCGGGTCCGTCGCTGGAAAAGAAATATTTCTTTTTAAATACCTAAATTATATAACACAACTAAAATCGTAAGAGTACTCGTGTAACTGTTGATTAATGTTCAATATGTGGTAACATGGTATGAAAAATCACTCTTGCCGATTTGACCGAGAAACGATAGTTTTAAATTACGCGATTGTAAAACTTCAACGTCAAGTTTAAAAAATGTCTATATCAATATTTCTCGGTAACGCGGTTTTAAAAATACTGTAGTGTCAACTTGCTTTTCATGTTACGAATTGGACAAAATAAATATGATTACCTGCATCACTCGAGTCTTCACACACATGCTTAGGATTAAAATAGGAGCAGGACAGTGGAAGAATGCTAGTTATTATTTCATACTTATCAGATTATGAATACATATCAAAGCGGTATGGTAGGTCAAGATATACAAAAACTGACAAATCGTCTTGCGGTCATTTTGAAAGAAAAGCAAGTTGAGTTGAAACCTGATAGATACAAGTTACCTGACAGATAAAAGTTATTTTTTTAAGTAAGATCTAATTAATGCCAAGCGTGTATCTCGACCCAAATACTAAGATTAAGCTTTAGTACTTCTATATAAGACTATGATTATTCTATGAAGCATGCAATATTAAATAAATCACTTTTAACTGAAGGTGCAATTGAATAAAAATATAGTTTCGTTATAACTTATTAAGAGTATTTTATTGTATATTTAGTCTTGCTTAACACAAATAAGTTTTTTTTTACTGATAAATCTGAGCTAAATGGAAAGACTTCCTTCGTTTAGCTGGAGTTAACTATATAATACATACAAACGTTTAATGCGTTAACTTTATACGTTAACTTAAAAATATGGGTTAATACTTGTCATGTCACACTTAAATTAAAATATATTGTGCGTTATATTTAAGAGTAAATATCACTTAAGTAATACTTTAAAACCAAAGCTTATAACTTAAATTAAAATGGTTAAAATGTTTTCTAAAAATACTAATCACACATATTATAAAAAAGCAGTTTGAAATACACATTAGAATACATAGACATATATGTATGATATAGGAGACGGGCTGATTATGTAACATTGTTAACCATTTCAACTTCTAATCAAAACCACTTCTAGAGGGCATTTCGCATTTCCCTCTGCTTCTTTGACAAAACTTGGTAATTATTATTAAAAGTTGGAACAGTTAGACACAAGGATTAAAGGAGATAAGGTAAGGTTTGATGATCAGCACTCGGTCATGGACGGCACTCGGAGTAACGGTGCGTGTTCGCCTAAACATCAATACAGACAACGTCAAAGCATAAACGGTACGATATTGCAGAAGACACGGATCTTGTCATATGAAGATGTCTTTGTTTAAACCGCCGTTTTAAATTGATTGAGTGTACCCTGACCCTCCATTCGAAAGTTAGTTTGTTCTTAACGTTTTAGTAAAATAATGATTTTATTCACTCGAGATAAAATTTGTCTGTAACTGCTACGACACAGTTACAGATGACAATATCCGTGTCCCTTGCACTAATTTGAATGACTATACTTCTTCTTTAATGAATGGTATACCAAAGTACACCTTTGTTACCAAAACAAGCAAATTATAAGCAATAACAGCATATTTTGTGTTTAACATATGTGGTTACTACACACATTTTTTTGTTTCTTATTATTGCATAGTAATTAAAATTTAGGCCTTTTTTGTGTTTGGATAAAAACGGAAATATAGTTTTTTAGAAAATACCATTAACTATTTTATTTAACCTTTAGACAGTTTAAAATGAAGCAACGAACTACATCACGAAAGCTTTGATCTAAAAACTATAAACAAATCGGCTATCATAATTCCCGCATATATTTTGTCGGAAATTTTAATAGATATATCCTACTAGAATTATGAATGTAAGTGATGCTACAACAAATACACTACATACAGGTTCAAATACAACGATATACCGGTGTATCTACTGCAATGTATAAGTTCCCACGTTTCGTATAATTACCTTGTAACTGCCTGTTAAGCAACGCAGTGATGCCGGGCCCGTCTCCAGCCTTCTTAACTATCAGCATGGGCTTATCTTCGCCTTCTTCGTAGCTATTCGGCAGGTGGCCGTTGCTTACAGCCATCGTTTCACTCACCTATAATACGTCATTTATTCATATTATTTAAAAATCTTTAATATTTTTATATATGTACCTATAATATTTATAAGCTTCACTCAAGTATTATCTGTCGCTTACGCGATATTTAATGGGATTTAAACCAATTCATACTATTATTATAAAGCTGAAGTGGTTTGTTTGTATGCACTAATCGCGGGATCTACTGGTTTGCATTGATAATTTCTTTTTGTGTTGGTTGGACCATTTATTGATTTATACAGGCTATAAAAAATCTAACTACGACCAATTACGGAATAATACGGAAAAATTAGCCATTTTTTTTATGATTTGATGATTGATTGAATGTATATGTTTGGTACATACAATATGTAAAAATTATTCTTCCTCAACTTTTGGTCGAACGCAAAAGAACGATTGGCAGGTCAGCTAGTATCATAGTATCAGTATAATTTTGCCTTGACCTTGGCTTACCGTCAAATACAATTGGTTTATTTAATTTGTATTTATATTTTCATCAATCATATTATTTAAGTAACAGTCAATGAGAAAAAATATATAAACGAACTTGTGTGACGTGAACAACAGCATTTCATTAATTGTCATATTGTTTCAGGTTGTAAAGTGAATATTGACTATTAAATTGAACTACAAAACAATTTATTACCTCAGAGCGTCCAAGACCTATACAAAATCTAGGTTACGAGGTTCTATTGTTACACCGTAGGAGTATGCAGGTCGATTAAACAATTTAAGACAATTATAAAATTACCACCGACCGCTTCCCACCAATTTCCTAGCATGAACTTTGTTCGATGTATTAATTTAATCCTTAGTTTAGTTAATACCTGCATCAGCTTGTGAACTACATCTCTGCCCAGGATGTGGTCGAACACAGCCTGCAGAAACGCGTCAGACATGATCGATAGTTTTAACTTGTCCCGGTGCCACACTAATACGCGGGACTCTTCCATCGCCATAATTGACACCTGAAACGAAGAAGTCATATAAATATAATTTTATCAATGAATCATAAATATACTATCTGATCAGGCAAACGTTGTTATCTATACTAATATATAAAGCTGAAGAGTTTGTTTGTTTGAACGCGCTAATCTCGGGAAATACTTCTAACTACTTATATCTTCGGGAATCGAATTGAAAAATCTTTTTGTGTTTATTAGAGCATGTATCGAGGAAGGCTATAGGCTATAAAACATCGTTCTGTAGCTAATGGGAGCCAAGATGTAACAGTGGGAAATGTGACAAAAATTGGAAAAATTAATCATCATTATGGGTTTTCGAGGCGTACGCTGCATAAACGGTTCAAGATACCCAAAAATATGTTTACGAGAATGATTCCTCTTTAAATGATCTAAAAAAAAGTCCACGGCGCTATATGTCTATCTTTTAAGATAATCTTGCAAGAACGACGGAAAGGACGCGACCGACGTCGTACAAAATAACTATTCTACGCGAGCATACCAGCTAGTAGGTAAATTATATCTAGAGAAGAATACTTTGAGAGAAAATTTGTAAATGTGTGAAAACTTATTCTCAAGTCTAACGAATGTGTAAAACAAAATTTGATAAAATTTGTATTATCTGTAACTTACATTTTAAACAAAACGCTTTGAAACTCTAATCGCGAAATATATTAGGTATTTTTTTATTTATTTTAACTACAACACAACGTTTAGTCCCTCCGATTGTGCAACAGCTGTTGCAATCCAAAAATACTTTAACTAATATACTGTTTTATTAAAATTGCATTTAAATCGGGATAGCCATTTTGGTGGATTCGAGCATAAACACTGACCGGAGAATTATATGTTCGATGTAGTCAATGCAGACCAACTGTGACAAACATAATTTGGTATTACCAGTCCGATTATTCATATACATATTTGATTTAATATCCACATAAATTTAAGTGCCACACACTTTTAAACTGTCTTTTAAAAAGAAAGAATGAAAAAGAAAGTAATAAATTAAAATGAATATTCTTACCTGAAAGAATTCGTCTGTCGATACGCCAAACCATTCGGGCGAGTCTAAGAAGTGGTGCGGGAACACTATGTGTAGGGCTCGTTGGTTCTGCGACACTACCAACCTGGAATATTGAATTATCTTTATACAGAGGATGACAGATATAAGTATTTGGTTCACGGTTCAAGTATTGCCCGAGTCGAAAATTTTTCAATTTATTTTTGATTTGGACATTAGACACAAAATTACAGTACCACACATTGTTTAACTTAATCTTTATGCATTTAGAAGAAAAAAAACACCTGGCTATCACACCATATTAATACGCGGTTACAACACAAAGATAAAAAATGTCGACTACTCCACGAGCCTTTGTGACATATAACGTAATCCCTCGAAACCTTTAGGGCTCATTTGGGAGCGATAAATCTTTAACGGGTCACTTTATATCTTCAATACATATAATATACATCAATTTAGCCTACGCTCCTAAAGCTAGGTACCTATTATAATTTTAAGGTCAACATTAAATAGATTTTCGTTGAACCTTTGGCATTTAATTTAAAGCTGTGATTTAGAATTCTTATATTTTTTGAAAAGATTTAAGAATATTGATGAAAGAGATATTAGAATTAATCTACTTTGAACGTCACAATTCTCGTCCGTCCTCAATCAAATTTTGTATTAGGACCTCATCAGTCTCGAAATTGCGACCTCGAACAGAAATCGAATTTGCGACGGACATTCAAAATTCGTCATGCAACTTGTCGGAGGCCAATATTATTGCTCGTTTTGCTTAAATATTGTATAACATGTTGGCGATGCTTTTCTGCTGCGATAACTAATCTTAATCTACTGATTTCACTCTTAATCTATCGTCTATTGGAAATAAAATGTAATCTAAAATGATAATTAATCAAGTTTTTTTTTTGTATCGATAAAACGGATACCTACTACCTTCAACAAGCGACCAGATAAAGATAAAAACTTGTTAATTCATTCGATATTTGACCATTCTTACTAAGATTACCGGGGCATGGGCCAAGCCATTTTATATCTCATTTTTAAGTACTATTTAGACAGAATCTACTCATTACGTGTTTTGTTAATTCTACCAAAAGTTTGACAAGACCAGGTGTGAGTTTAATTGGTTATTCAAGCGTGATCAGGTAGTGAATATTATCCAAGGTGTGGTAACCAGTATGCTCCATCACGGCAACGCGAAACGGTTCATTCATTCAAGGCACTTGCAGTTGCGTACTATATGTATATGTATTTCATACGATAAATCACATCAGTGTATATGTTTTGCTTTTCATGACAAATGACAGCACGGGGAGGATCATTGAAAGAAAAGAATGTCGACCTGGTATGTTATCTATAGACTAGCCGAAACGGAGATTTATACTTCACTGCTTTTCCTTCTTTTGACAGTGGTTCGTGACTACGATCTTAGATGTTTTTAGAAATCGAACCCTTAGCCCGTTGATTATAAGCTCTACATTCCTATTTAGTAACGAGCCTGTTAGAATAATACAAAATTAAAACTGTAATGAATAATCGCATTACACATTCAAACATCCTTCACCTTTTGCGATATCCGTGAATGACAGAAGAAAGAAATGTGTAATAGTTTAAGTATTTGTTAACGCACCGAACAAAGGCGATTAAAAGATTGATATTGCTCACATGAAAAAATATTTAACACTTCCTATTTTCTTGTTAATAGACCACCTCTGTGGCTAAATGGTTAAACGTATTGCCTAGCATTGCGTTATGCGCGAGAGGTCCTGGGTTCGAATCCCAGGAAAACAAAAAAAATAGTCGTTCCGGTCGCGTAGGGCACAGAAGTCTGATTAACTACTTGCCTGTTAAAAAGAACGGATCAGAGAAACGGACACAGAAAAGTGTTCGCTCCACGCCCCACGAGAGGGTAACGGGATTTCACTACTACCTACTATTTTTCTTGTTCATTAGTGATAACGTATTCGTTCTATAAAAAAAACATATAAAATATATATCTTTATCATTGATAAGATTATAAAACCATTTCGATATATCTATATATTCGCACAAAGTGGCAGATGATTGAATGGAAAGCTTATAGAATATTCCATGAATAAAACTATACAAACAGCCCGTACCCAAGCCTTACAAATTAATTAGACTTTAAACCTGTAAGGATTCTTCCTAATCTCCCGTTTCCGTTTAATCGAAGGGCACAAAAGAACATTACAAAGGTATAAGATTACAACGTCTTTAAAGAAACAATTGAAAGGTTAAAACAATGCCGTGTCTGAACAATGAAAATTTAAAAGGTAAATTCGTATAATTATTAAAATTTTGCTCAACGTAATTAATTAAATTTTTTGTGATGCACAAGCATGGGGACATCGATGGAGGGGAAAATAGAAAAACCATATAATATCTGAGCAAGAAACGCAATTAAACTTTACGGATTTTTTATCTGTAGACGGAATTTTGATATTATAGATTCCTACCACAACAATGTAGTTTTGTAACGGTTGCAAGTGCGTTTTCTATCTTCAACAAGCCATTCTTCAATTATGTTATCTTTACGGATTCTCGTGGGAAAACAAGACTTATAACAGGATATATAAGAAAAGAAAAGAACTGATAATTCCAATTCACACTGAATAGAACCGTTGGAATACGACGAAGTAATGTTTCCGTTAACGAATCACAATGTTTTTACTAAGTTCATACTTCTATTACACAACCTGGAACAAACTATCTACTGAAAGAAATAGGTGTGGGAGCCTAACTTAAGACAATGCGATTATTCGTATGTGAAAGTTTGTTTTTATGACATTGTAGTAATTGATTTTGAAAATAATAATTTCCCTGCATCTGTTCGCTGATTTTTGAAGCCTAAATTTTTAACACATAAATAATTAAAATACTTTGACCCTGTAAAACATGGAATGTATTACCTAACCTATTTACAATTTATTTTTACTACGGCCCTACATTTCGGATACTTTGCATCAGCCGTGGTCACTGGGGGCCTGAAGATGGAGAGTGTCCATAATGTCGAAGCCAAAATTTCAATAGAAAGGACGGCCTCAAAATATTTAACACCTGGTATCCTATATTTAACACTAGAACGCAAAAAACGGCACCCAAATTGTAGTTGAAAAAAAAGAATAGTTCATCAGCATCACATATAAAATAGATTACAAAAAAATGTAAGTTAACTAATACATTTCACGTTTTAAACCGATAAAAGTGATTTGTATTAATGTGTACTACTCGCGTAAACTACTGACATTAGGTACTTACTTACTTAATTATTTTTTCTACATTTCATAAAAATAAAAATTATACCGCAACACACTTTTGAATAACCACTGACCTGAGTTTAGCCATCAAACGATTTCTAATCGAATACATAGGCCGTCGACTAACTTTGTTACGTAAACCGCCGGTAGCACACAGTAAGATTGTATAAACTTGCAAATATCGACGCCCATATACGCCCTCTTTTTCGTCTTCGTGAGCCCCGAAACAATAACCACAGCAGGGAGAATTGAACCTAATTCGACATTAAATATATACTCATTTCTCTAGATCAAAACGTCTCTTATTAAAAAAAGCTAATAATTCAAACACGTACTTTAACAGCATATGAGATAGCCAATATGAGAGTACTTTTAACACGGAAGTACCGTTGCGTAGCCTGTTACTAACCATGTAATATTAAAATATTTATCCGAATTAAACGCCGTATTGACTGCATTGTGTGACATACGAGCAGAGAAAGATGAGAGAGCTGTATTCCATTTAACATTTACTTTGCACATGATTATAAACTATTATTTATTTCAAACCGATAAAAAATCACATGGCTTTGTATAGTAAGTACATACTACATATGAACATTTTTTAATTCATTAAAAATCTCTATAGAGGTTCATAATTATTAGCAATGAATATATTCAGAAGTCAATGTATTTTCGCGAATCTGACATCAAGCTACCGTCATTCAAACACTGAAATTGATTCTTACAACCTGTCACGTGGACTTATAACACGACACACTAAACCGCAAGCTAAGTGCGGTCTCCTTTGTGTAAGGTGTAGTAGCTAGAACTGGGATACCACTATACTCGATATATCAAATAACAATGTTGTTATTGTTTTTAAAAGGCGGTGAAAATGACATTACGCGTGTAAGCTTTTAATACACTATTTTAGTTCTAATTGAGAAAGATAGAAAGAAGTAAAATCCTGTTTCCCCCTCGTGGGGCATGGGGCAAACACATTTTTGTGTTCGTTTCACTGATCCGTTCTGTAACAGGCAAGTAGTTGATCAAACTTCTATGCCTTGCCCGACCTAAACAATTTTTTGTTTCCCTGGGATTCGAACCCAGGACCTCTCACGGTTAACGCAATGCTAAGCAATACGTTTAACCCATTGGCTACAGAGGCGGTCCAAAGATAGAACGCTTTTTATATTGCTAAGAATTATTATTAGTAACTAAACTAAAGTTATAAAGCTGAAGTGTTTCTATGTTGTTCTATCGATGAAGGCTATATAACGCTGCGACCAAACGGAGCAAAGAAGCAGTGGCAAATATGGGAAAACTGTTGCGTTCGCAGCAAAAACGGCTCAAGAAATAAAAAATTATGTATACAATAATATAATAAGTATAATATAAAATAATGACTGCTAAAGGTCCCCGGTAATGCATTGTTACCAATTATTGGTTACAGTTGTATCAACATTATAATAATCTTGCAAACAACAAAACAACATTTGCCAGATCAGCTACTTAGAATTAGAATAAACTACAATAAAGATAAAGCACCTGACGTTTACATGTACTATTTAAGAGTTCATGTAACACATTTCATTAGTAGTTAGCTGAGCTGGCTTGTATATTTATGGAGATTGCATTTATTGCAATATATTCAACAGAATTCATGAATATTTCTCTCCATGCATTTATAACAAGACATTGATTTTTATTTTTCAAGCGTGAATTTTTAGTAACTGGATTTCTGGATAAGATTTTACATTCAGAATTAATACTGCAAAGAATTCATCATTCAGGCGCCAAGTTATGGTCCAAAAATAGAAGCTTGTTATTAAGACTTATTGGAAAAGTTTGTAGTATACATCTGAAACAGATAAGTACTGCATCGTGATTATCTAATGACCTTTAGAATTTGTATTTCATTGGTGGTTCTGGGGTTGATGAAGACGAGGAAGTAGAAAAAAGTGTTTCTCCGGGCCGGGCACAGTCCTATAAAGTTAAATCGATTGCACTGGATACTGGATATGTATATGGATATAATCCATACTAATATTATAATGTTTGTTTGGACGCGCTAAACTCAGGAACCACTATTTTTGTGTTGATTAGAGCAATTATCGAGGAAACTTTTACGATATAAGATATCACGCTGCGACCGATATCATTGAGGAAACAGTGGGAAATATGAACAAACCGGGGAATATTATTCATCTTTTCGGGTTTTCGTTACGTGTGCGGCGCAAAACGGCTCAAGATACCCAATAAATACATCGAAAATAAAGATGACCGGGCTGAAGTTAGCGCGACCGCCATCTTGCGCATGCTACTTTTTCAAGCCAAAATCCGAGTCGTCCTGCACCCGCGCACCCCCTTTGTCGCAACTGATACCTGCTTTTCGTTCCGCGCTAACTTCAGCCGGGTCGAAAATTTGGAGAGCACTGTACTGAACTAAATATAAAGAGCAACAAACTTACTTTCCAGATAGCACAAGCGACAGACTGTCCACCTTTGTGACCTTTTCGTGCGCATACAGCTCGTGGCACTTGAGATGCCTCACATTGCGCATGCACATGAGGACGCGTCGGAATTGTCTTCGCGACACTCGAAGTGGTTTGAACAGGGCAACGTATACCTGGAGACAATCAAATAGTAACTATTACATTATTGATAAAGAGAAGAATATGATTCAAGGTTTAAAATTGAGAGAGCATGAGACATCTTAACAAACTTTCGATTCTATATTAATATTACAAAGCTATATATAGTATAGTATGTAGCTAGTTTGTCGAGTGGTTTCAACGCGCTAATCACTGGTACGGGTTCAAATTGAAAAATTATTTATGTTGGATCATCATTCGAGGAAGGCTTTGCAACATCACGTTGCGACCAATCGGAGCGAATAAACAGTGGGAAATGTGGGAAAAACTGAGAAAATTATTTGTCTTCAAATATTTTATTGGGTGCGTTGCGTTGAAAAAGGTCCAAGAGAGCAAACAAAATTGTATGAACGAATGATGCCCCTTTAAATGAACTTAATAAAAGTCCGCGACAGTATATATTATCTTTTAGGATTAGCTCGCAAGAACGACGATGGGACGTGGAATAACGTCGTGGGTAACGGCTATCAGTATAATCAGTCCCGGTTATCGATACTAGATTAGTTGCGGTGGTCATTAGAACCCACAAAATCTCATTGGAGCGGTGTATCCAAATACTTAATATTCTCTTCTTCGGAACAGAAGACCTGTTCCCAGCAGTGGGACGGAAATAATTAAGAACTATACTAAGACAAGATCTTAAGAAAAACAATATTTATTTAAAACGGTTGACTGTAGCTAACGAGTAATAGCACATGCTCCGCTCTTATATTAACTACTAACGAGTAACTATAAATATGTGAACATATGAGTGACAAAAAATGCATTAGTCGTAATAGGGATGAAATGAAGAATAGCCTTAATGTTATCCTAGGCATCCTCGCCGACTGCAAAAAACATGGGCAAAAAAGTCATTAAAACTGGACCTGTTAAATCACCGGCCTCGCTGCTACGTTCAGAAACCCATTATATTATTTTAACATACATTCGTCATAAATGACATTTAGTTTACTTTTATAGAAAATTATCTATGACTATATCAAGCAAAGTAAAACTAAATACGCATTAAGCTTTACTTTGCTTGATATTTAGTCTATAAATTTCAAACTAGACGACTTTTCAGGCGCTAACTTTTCAATCAATAGCTTGAGAAATAAGCGATATCTTTAAAAAACACAATCATAATAAAAGATTATAAGATAAAGAGTGGCTATGATCGCCTCCATGATCATAATTCAACAATGCGTTGCTCAACATTGTGTTTATTGTGAATCGTCCTAGATTTGTATCCCAGAACACATGACTTCATAAAAACAAATTTGATCAATGACATAGACAAACAAAAATGTCTGTTCTCCAGAGGAAGAGGGAATTTAACATTGAATAAACATCATTGTTTGGGCTGACATCTGCAACCGAAATTAAATTGAGATGTTCCCGTACGATGTAATATTGAACGGGAGACCTGTTTGGGATGCGGCGCCTTTGCATAATATCGATGCGCTAAACTTAATTGATACATAGTACTATATATTGATCACAATTTGATTGATCAGGCACAGACGTCTGAAAAGGTAAATTATATTTTACACGAGTGTTCAAACGTTTAAATTATAGTAAAGCTCTGTAAATAGAAAAGACAAAAGCATCTAGGTTGTATAAACGTTCAGTTTTAATTTTGAAAATGGAATAGAACTTTACTGTCTATTGAGGGCGCACAGTGTCTTGAGAAGTATTGAAACAAAACACTAAAAACTTGAAAAGGCTTTTAATCACGAAAAACGTCGATTTTGAAGACTCATCTCGACAACAAATAACAAAAAGTAGGTCAGACAGTTTTACAGACCGACTACCTACTTATGTCATTAGTGCGACTGAAACATGCCTTTGATTGCAGCATTGAGTCAAATAGAACAGTAGAGGGAAATTGTATGAAAAACATTTTACGATATAATATATGACTGTGTGTGTAAATATGTATGAATTCACCTCCACATTCGAGGCGAACAGAAATCAAAATTCAAATAGGTTGCACAGCAATATAGATTAGATTTATAATAGCTGTAGCGATAGTTCGTTTAAATGTCGTTCACCCCGCCCCACTAACATACACCCTTGGGAACGAGTTCAAATAGGGTGAAAAATAAAATAGGTCAATTTATCGCTTTTAGTCCAATAATGACGCTTTTGCAAAAAGTGGCCGTAATATGCGGACAAAAGACGCAGTGCACTCGACGAGAGGTACCAACGATTATGACGGGCCCGTCGGTACGGGCTATAGGTTCGATCGCCACCGAGTCCAATCAATTTACAAGTTTTCTGTAACATGCTGGAATTCGACTACATATGTTGATATCAAACGGAGGATAGGAATGTTGATATTCCATCCGGGTCACCACACCACATAAAAAGCCCTGAAGTTTTATCACGTTTCGGTCTGTGGTCCGAATATCCAAAGTCAATCCAAATCGATCGATATCCAAAAAGCATGCTGAATCCCACGGACACGGATAACCAGGTAGGATATGTGTCGACCATTTTTTTTTGTTTTGGTCGTTTGGAATAATGTACCTAGGATGACGCCGAAAAGGCAACTGTTAAATTTGTGTAACGAACTTAACAAATACAATGGAAGTTACGCCTATTTAAATAAGTAAAAAAAAAGTATTAGCATCCATATAAAGGGAATACAAAGAGATAGTTGCAATCATATTTTTAAAGATGGCAAAATAGTAATTCAGAAATATTAGTAAAAAAAACTAAGCTGTAGCAGAGGGAATAAATAATAAAATTTTCTTTTATTCTTTAGCGCAGAAATCAATAAAGATGCCTTGCCAGCTCATAGTTTGCCACTTTTATTGCAATTTCACGCTGATATGTGTAAATGGAGTCTACATTCATTCTAAAAATGTTTTTAATACACAAGAGTTTTTGTTAATTTCTTGATATAATTGTCAAAAGTATACGTGATTGGTACGCGTTATATAAACACTGTTTAAAACGACGAAACGTAAAACGTGAAAAATGCTTCTTATGTCCCCGTCTTGTATGTTAATTTCATTGACTGAATGAACAAAATCTAAAACTCGATTTCGTAAATAATTGTATTAATGGGACGCACTGAGCATTCATTCAAATGGACTAGTTTACTTTATGTTGACTTAACACGTTGAATATTAGTACTAGTGCGATCGAATATAAAATAAAACAAAACGTTACGGTACTTGACGCACAAAAAACAGCGATTGTTATGGACGTAGATTTTAAATGAGACCTTCATCAGAAATCCATTCGAAAAGCTATTACAAGCAGTTTACTAAAGCGATTTCAGCCTAAACACCTCGCCAACAAAAGTGACTAATGAGCAACCGTCATGCGTAATTTTCCATCACAATTCCTAAATTAGTGATAACCTCAATGTTTAAAAGAATGTAAAATCTGGACATTAAGTGGGTGATTAGAATATCTAAATTCCGTCCGGGACATGGACTGCCGTGAAGAATGGAAAAACCGTGAAGTGCAAATTTACTTTTCGGCATCTGCCTGTAGAGATTCACTTAACCCTTACTTTAAAAGTATGTCAAAAATTACAATATCGCAATAATAAGAGACCATCAGAAATCGAAACGTTATTGTGAATAAAAAGTACTCCGCCAAAGACTGCACAAAGCAACATTTTAAAGCCACGGCAAAACAATTTTAATCTTGAAACAATACTTAACATAAAACAAAGGCTTTAATGGCAATTTTTGAAGCTGGTAAGCGTCATTTTAATTTATCTGTTTGTAGGCAAGCAGACGACGTCGCGGGCAAAAGCTAGTGTGTAAAAAGCAACTACTGACATTGAGTTAATCCTCTTATGAAATCACTTCAGTATGCTTAAGCGTAATTGGATAACCACTAACCAGTAATAATACCAGTAACTATTATTTTTTTCATTATAACTTATAAATGAAGTATGAAATACGTAAGTCTTAGACGAAGTCATAATATTTGTAAGATCCAGCTGAATAAATACTGATAAATCGGTTGTTATAAAGGGTCCGTGTTGAATTGTTTCAATACACTCGAATCAATTCAGTTCGCCGCAGCTAAAGCTATCGCCGATGTAAAGAACACTTAACCTACTTCTATCTTAAATAAATAAGCCTTTAACTCAGTAACTTGCATACCAAATTTATTTTGTTTTCAACTTATGAGCACACAAATTAGGTATATTTTTTAATATCACTATATACCTATTGAGTCTGATTTTGTTTTTCATCTTTGTGCCCAAGGTAACACAACGGTAGTTATTTCCTTACAGAACCTTTATATTTCGATTTCCTTTATACAAAGCAGTGAACAACAATATCTAGCGGGAAATTGAAAATAGAATTCAATTAGTAGGCAACTGCAAATATAAAAAACATTTATTTTTTCTCTTCCTCGTGATAGTAAGAAATCCAAATACCTATTATGATTTACGATAAATTACGTAACCAATGAGACAGACGGACAGATTTTTATAACGAAACGATTAAATTAATTCTGAGTATTAAGTAGTAGGTAATAAAAAAATACATAAGTTTTTTTAATTATATAAGTTTAAAAACAAGTGGTCGAGAGGCACAGCAGTTTCGTATAGAATTACCAATTAGTTATTAACGAGTGGCCTACAACGTAAAAGATTGTTAATTTTAATTCTTAATTTCGTAACATAAACACGTCAACATAAAATTGGCTCTTTCCAAAATGTTAAACTATTGGTAGAAACTGTTTTATAGATTATATTTAATATCCACCTTGTCGACAAATACATTGACATGATTTCTAAAGCAACCATCAAATCGGAAGCTGCAGTTTAACAATTGTTACTATAGCTTTGATTCTAAGATTAAATGTCTGAAGATTATCGGTCGAGCGTATTTGTAAACTGAGAATGGGACTTTGCAACGGCACTGTAGTTCGTTGGTGTAGTAAAGGCAAGTTACGACGTGTTACGGGTACTTATACCGATATATTATAGAAAGATATCAATGGTTTAAGTACGAATATTAATAGTTTGCACATCTTTTGTCAAAAGGTTTTTTTTTAATATCAGATAATTAAATACAATGTAATATTAGGAAGGAAGAAAGAAGAAATTATTTAATGCCAAAAAAACTTAAAAAATAGATTCTTAGGCTAAAATTTTGTGGCACGTCAGGATGGAGACTCAGCTGAATGCTCCACGAAGGGGATCCCACAGCGCTGTTTTTCAGTCTGCTCCCTCTGGCCGAAGTAGTTACTACCAACAAACCTACAAAATCTTTCCTAAATGTATCAGCTGTTTAAACGTACGCTTTCGCTAATGACTTAACCCACCCTCTGAAACTCGATAGCAACGTCATATTGGGTATATGTATTGACTTTCGAAACAAACATGATTCATTGGAGTAAACGCAATTTGATAACCAAACTAAAACCTTAGTGAAATTTTGTTTCTCCAATTCGGGGCATATTCCATACACATTTTTATCACTACCCTTTTGACTTTTGGGCAAGTAATTGATCAGACTATTTTTTCCTGTATCACTGCAACTATTATATAACCAAGGTAGGTCCTGATTCCTAAACCATGACACATTATGCATTGCTAGGCAACACTTTTATCAATTGAGCTACATGGAAGGTAGGAATCTCGCCTGTACTTCTAGTAGTAGTAGTAGTATATGTGCGATTTAAAATAAAGTTTATATTTTTTTAAACAGAGAAATAAGACATGATCATAGTTAAATGTTCTCTGAACATGAAGATTGTAAATAAATATCCCTGCATACACATTTGAATATAAAGGATATTAGACTAAGCATGTTGCATCAAAAATTCAAAACAATGTGAAGTTTAAGGATTTCTGCATACTACTGCACTGCAGGTCACAATGTGAATTTTGCATTAAAATATTTGATATATTTTGTTCACTGTTTACATAATAGATTAATATATTTTTATTTAAGTATTGAAAAGACTAAATAAATAAATATAAATACCAACAAATTTATATAAAAGACAAATAAAATAAATTGTGATTATGATTAAAAAACAACTTGAACAATGAACACAAACCAACTCAAGCTTCTAAGATAAAATATTCTAAAAAATATTGAAATTTTTATTATTTATATAAAAATTCACAAAAACAATTCTCAAACTTACGGGCACATTCTTGTCTTCACTAATTATAGAGATATATTTAAAATAGAACACACAATTGGATGTGTTATCTCAAAAGTAAGCATTAGCAAATAAACTGCTAATCAATGTATTATTTGCAATAGTCTTACCTCTTCAATTTCCTTATGAAACTTGATTGGTCTCATCAAATAGAACTGTATAGCAAAGTAAATGAAATTTATGATGATAAAAGCACTATTCCACAACACAGCATCCAAATAGCACTCAATACTCCAAGCCCAAAGACCAGAGAAAGTGCAGCCGAGGATAAGAGCTACACGCAACCAGATTAGGCCACCAGGAGTATGAGGTGCCAGGAAGGATAGCAAAAAGAACACATTTGACACTTGAAAAAATACGTGATTAACTGGCCTCCAGCGTGGACAATGGTTTAAGTATAGATCCCACATCGAGGGTCTTTCCTGAATTGTTACATTCACGAATTCATTATTTTCAGGTACTTTCGAAGTCTCTGCCAGACCCATGGCAGGAGTTGGCGCAGCGATGTCACTGTTCGTTGCCGTCAACTGTAATGTACCATTTTGAAGCCCAGTTATCACTCCGATCGCTAAGGCACTGAGAAATAACATAGTCCCACCGAACACACACCTCCGGGTCCAAATGGCACATCGATATTTTCCCGAGGACGTTTTGCATTTGCGCGCAATTTTATCAGATTTTTATAACACTGTCTCTAAACTTCTTTTTGTAACATTAAGAAAATTACAAAAAGCGAAGTAATTTTTTTTATGGAACAAAATTGCAGATATTTTTTATCCTTCAATATTCCAATAAACAATATGACATTTGCTTTCACTGTATTAAATATTATTTACATATAGGAGTAACGGAAACCCTTCGCTTTATTAAATATTTAGTGAATTTACTAATTTAGATTGTGTATCAAATAAATCACGGAGGTTGTAAAAATAAATGTGCAAAGACATGAAGATGAAGCAAACAACTAAACAAGAAACTACAGAAAACAATGAGTTTTATAAAATGTCTACATCTGACAACCACAGACTTAATGCTGTAATATGTCAAAGTCGAGATTCCGTTGGCTTAACATAAAATATATGTATATTGTTATTAATAATAATAATATAAACATTTTTATCTTTTTGTAAAGTTGAGTTGACAAATTTGGTTGATTGATTTACATACACAGTTATCCTTTTTTTTTCATACCATTCTCAATTATTATTTCTATACACAGTTATTATATCTGTGTTCAAATTTCATAAGTTTAATCATATTATAGATCTCTGAAACTCGAGATACATCAGAAAGACTTCCTATTAAATCAGAATTTTATATGTATTTCATGTTAATTTTTTTACAGTTTTAGTCATTGGCGCTAAGGTCAAGTAATCAAAAAGACTCACGAACGATTACATATTGTTGAACGGTTACCAGGCCATTAAATATTATTTAAAAAAAAAACATTGTTGAACGATTACATCTGTGCACTCATCTGTCAACTGTTAATGTCATAGTATATTATAATATTATTTATTAACCAAAATGCCCGTGGACCCGGTTTATTGAGATTTGTTTACATCCAAAGATTGATAATGTTGTAGTTATTCTTTTTTTGAGTAAAAAAAAACTAGTCTGTAAAGTTTTGACTGAGAGTGTCTGTTATAAGAATCCAATGCAATCCAGAACTTTAAATGAAGTCTATAAAGCATGGCGACCATTTCTAATATGCTGTTACATCCTGAATTGATGAATAACGAACAGCTCATATGTATAATTAAAGAGGTATAATGATTATTCTATGCTTTAGATGGTTATATTGCTTATAACAGTGAGAGCATTTGAATTTTCTTTTCCAGCGCCGTTTAAAAATACAAAATTTACATTTACTACAAAGAGACGAACTACTATCAATATTTCACCAGTTTTGTGTTCCCTACGGGCAACGTACTTATAAAGATAAAGGTAGAGGAAAAGTTTTGAATCAGAATAGAAATAGCAATCCCGAAACATCACCCAAACTCAAAACATTAGATAATGTAAATACTGCTGATATGCAAAATCATCTCTCCTTTAAAAACATTTTAGAACATGAGAGATTAAAACCACCGCCAGATCTTTTGTGTGGACACATAAAGAGAATAAAATTAGATACAGACGCACAAGTAGTTAAGGGATCTGATAAGTTGAAAAGAAAACCTACACTGGATTCTGTAAGTTGTTTAATTTTACTATAGTATAATATACCATATTAAGATTACACTTTATTTGTTTCTATACTTCTTATTTTGTTATTTATTAATTCATACATTTAAATTCAGAAGCAGAATTGTCGTTGTTAAGTAAATTTTTATAAATAGAATACAAATTAAAAACATCATCATTTTTTTTCTCAGATACTACAAGTTGCAGATAGTACACCACCAAAAAAGAATCGGAAACTCATAACCTGGCCATAATACGATTAACGGCGTTTGTGTAACATGATATTGTTTTGTGTTTATGTAAATAATTGTGTAATATATTTTTCAATTTAAGATATCAAGCTAAGATTTAGTAGACAAATTTAGTTTGCCATATATATGTAGGCGATGGGGCTGTACTGGAGTGTTTGTTGATTGTTGTTGGATATATACCAATAATCAAATGCCTGGTGATTTATGTGGCAGATCAATGTCTCTCTTATCAGCCTCCATTGCTACACATACTAGCTTTTTGGTTAACTAAGGTAGATGGCAGAATATGTTCGATTAGTTTTTTGTAATAGAAACTATTTTTGCGTAGATAAATTTCTGGTCAAGCTTTCTACATTTTACTCTTTGTCTGTATAAACATTAAAAATAAATATTTAAAAAGAATTGAGTTGTAGAGAATTGTGTACATAATAAGAAAATAAAGTTATTTGTATGTAATTTATAATTTTTATTTTATTAATGAGATCATTACCATCGAAAGTAACGATAAGTTTCGTAGATATTTTCAAATTTTCAACTTTTAGTTATAGATGTTGAAATTAGATTCATTTTGGTTATCATTTTATGAATTTATTATTTTCCACAATTCTAAATAAAAATCTAATCTGCATGAACTTAAAATACCACCCTACATGACATTAGTAAAAATTTTGTGTGTTTGTCCTTCATCGTTTTTAGGATCTGAAGTAAAAAGATAATCATTCCTCAAGTAAAGATATAAGGAAATATAACAACGATTCACAGTCGCGATATGGTCCAATTTAAAATCTAAAGTAGTTTCATATTTGGCAGAATTCATTTTTTATGTAATTAAAAACATCATTTTTAAATTACAGCTTTCTCTATGCTAGGACGGCGGAACTAAAACCGAATAAAATCCGTGAAATTACTCAGCGGCGTAATATATGTAGACACTTCACAAAGATGGCGCTGTAGTCATTAATTGGGTCAAGCTATTTGTGTGTAAAAATAGATATAAGATAACTAGCTGTGTTAGCGACTTTGTCCGCGAGAATCGTTATTTTGGATATCCAAATTCGTTTTTGCAAACCTCTTCATCTTTATAAAGTTAGGCTGTTACCCACGACGTCTGCCGCGTCTCTTTTCGTCGTTCTTCCGAGTAAAAAATAATATGTTTTTTGATATTATTAAATTAAGTAATAGCTATAAAAAAAATCTGGCTAATAAGAAATTGTAAATGATTTGGTATACTGTCCAAATAGTAATGCGGATAAAATAATTCGTTGGATAGTTTTCATTTTCACATTCAATAAAGCTGAAAACGTTTTAATTTAACGTGTTTTGAATTACAAGTACAGTCATTTGATATCCCTAGATTGAATTAGAATGATCTGTTTTACGTGTTGTTAAAAAAATTTAAGAAATCTAATTAAAATACGACATATTATCATCGACCACTAGTACTGCTATGTTTGACGCGTCCGGTACGCAAGAAGCCAATCTCGCGTCTGAATCAAAGAATAACTTCGCTGCACGTCACTGCTGATCTTCAGCTTTAACATCGTGAAACTAGATTTGCGTACACGCGCAATCATAAACCGATTATAATATTCTCAATGAGCGTCAGATAAAGCGATACCGAGAGTTGTATAAGGGGGTGCGTCTCTGCCGCGGCACTCAGAAAGGCTAAACCCGACATGTGGCGTGTTGGTTACGTCTTGGTGTCTCTGGCGGCTTTCGCTTCGGCATTAGAAGATGATCCTTATCATCCAGTAATGCCGGAGCGCAGCTTGAACCCAGCGTTGCTCGCCAGAGGTGAGGACGTCGCGTCCTACTGGGTCGAAAATGCACAGGCCCCGCTTCGAGGACTAAAAAGTGAAGGGAAAAAAGCGCGCAACGTCATCATGTTCCTTGGGGATGGCATGTCTGTGCCGACGCTAGCTGCGGCTCGTACTCTTCTCGGACAGAGAAGTAAACGCACGGGAGAGGAATCAAAGCTTTCTTTCGAAGAGTTTCCTACAACAGGCTTGAGCAAGGTTTCTTTTTTTTAGTTTTTTTAGTTATAATCTGTATTATTTCCTCTTTGTTATGCCCTAATGGCATTTATAAACTAAATCGTTTCTTACATTGCGAGGTTCATTTATCATAAGGTTGAGACACTGTAGCTAAATTGTTCAATACTCGCCTGTGTCATCAAATTTATTAATTCTAAATAGATTTTAATCTCTTGATTTTATTATTAGCGAGCTAAAACACTTATACGTTTCTTCTAGACTTACTGTGTAAACGCGCAGATCGCTGACTCAGCGTGTTCCGCGACGGCTTACTTATGTGGAGTTAAAGCAAATCAGGGTACCCTGGGTGTGACGGCAGCTGTACCTCGCCGCAACTGCAGTGCCTCTTTGGACCCAGCTCATCGCTTGGATTCGATTGCCGCTTGGGCGCTTGCCGATGGCCGAGACGCCGGGATAGTGACGAGCGCTCGTGTCACCCATGCGTCTCCGGCCGGCGCGTATGCACATTCAGCAGAGCGTGGTTGGGAGAGCGATGCCGATTTGGGGGAGGATTCACCACTGTGTTCGGACATCGCCATGCAACTTGTTCATGAAAATCCTGGCAAACAGTTCAAAGTGATACTCGGTGGCGGTAGACGAGAGTTTCTTTCAAAGGACTTCGTCGACAACGAAGGGAAGAAGGGTACTCGGACGGACGGTCGGAACCTGATCAACGAATGGCAGGAGGACAAGCGCGTTCGCAACGAGAGTTACGCCTACGTGTGGAACCGAGATCAGCTGGTCGAAGCCAACGCCACTCTGCCTAACTATCTATTGGGTCTGTTTGAGAGTAGCCACTTGCAATACAATTTACTCAGAAATATTACTAGTGAGCCTACATTGGCAGAATTGACAGAAGTGGCAATAAGAATTTTGAGCAAGAACGAAAAAGGCTTTTTCCTTTTCGTGGAAGGTGGCAGGATAGACCACGCGCATCACAGTAACTATGTGGAGCTCGCCTTGGATGAGACGATAGAGTTGAGTGCTGCAGTCTCCCGCGCGAGCGAATTATTAAGCGAGGAAGACTCCCTGCTTGTTGTGACAGCTGACCACGCACACGTTATGGCATTCAACGGGTATACGGCGCGTGGTAACGACGTACTCGGAGCCTCCCGAGGCATGGATCTCACTGGAGCGCCCTACATGACGCTCTCTTACACTAACGGACCAGGCTACCGTCCGGCTGTCGACGGAATTAGGCCCGATGTCACGGCGGAAGAGAATTACCACCGTGAGTACTGTGCAATTTAATATATAATGAAATGTGAAAGCCTGTTTGGGCAAACATATTTCTGTGTCTGTTTCACTGTTTTTTCGAGTTAAATTCATCGATGAATATAAACATGAAGCCACGGATGTGATTATTATAGTTTTCTCGGAACGTACCATACATTCCTATATTTATGTGCAGGTGATCCGAAATGGCGATCCCACGTGGACGTGCCTCTCTCTTCAGAGACGCACGGCGGAGATGACGTGGCGGTGTTCGCACGAGGACCTCAGCACCACATCTTCACGGGCCTCTACGAGCAGAATCACATTCCTCACAGAATGGCTTATGCGGCTTGCATTGGACCCGGGCTACATGCTTGCAACGGAGCATTTCGTGTGGCTAGTGCCCCATTGTCCATATTCCTATTTATTTTAGTTTTCTTGATTTCAAATAAGTTATTTTATCATTAGGTTCATTACTTAATGAAAAAATGGGTCAAAAGTTATTTTATAAAATAAGAACGTTTGAGATCATTCCGGAAAATATTATGTCTTTTGCAATGATAAACAGATTGCACTTCGAGCTAGCGATGTATTATAAAAATAAAATGTTTAAAAAGAAATGTTGCGTAGGTCAACAACGGTTGATTTCCTTTCTTCTTCCTTTTTTTTCTTTATTTCTGCTCTCTCTTGCTCAAACATTCACCATATTCGCCGTTTATGTAAGTTACGTAAGTTCTCCTTAGATGTAAATAAATAATTAATTTATTTAAAAATTACTCTGTATTTATTTATTGCCTTTTAGTAGTTAAAGAAGAAATAAACGTGGAATAGATCTATCTTGAAAATTATTATTATACCTCGTACACTTCTATTGATATATTCTTTCCTACATCCTACATAGGCACATATACATCGCAGAATTTGACGAAATAAATGCGAATATGTATTTAGACGATGTATCCGTCAATATAATATATTAATTCTTATTGTATTACATACATAGGAAATTATTTTACAGGATACCAAGTGGTTGATCAGTCTCCGAAAATGTCTGTTATGCAATAGAACATCCATTCAAAGTTTGTTTAAGAAACACTGTGTTTGCGTTGTAATCGTAATACGATGTTAAAATTAGATTATGCATTTTTAATACTATTATATTGTTTTCGTTATCGCTTTGATCAATAAGCCCAGATAAAGGTATTTCTTTATTCCATTATTCTAAAGTACACATGTAAACTCGAGGATGACCTTGAAATCGGCCGTCTCTCGATCTTATCGATACGCAGATATATTACTCTGAGTAGATCTACCGCAGCTTCCGTCTTCAGTATATTTGGTAGCATCGAGCGGTGCGCCTGCAAGGGACGAGTTCGTTAAGATGATGAGAAGACGCGTTTTGCTATCTTTAAATCTGTTAATAGTTCTTGCAAGTGTTCAATATTCAATAGGTAAAACTTCATGAGATAAATATTTTTAGAAATCATATTGTTTAACGTAATTAAAAGTAATCACGAAATTGAAACTGCAGGTGACGAATACCACAATGGGCTGAGAGAATTGTTACGGGCTGAGCGGTTTAAACGCAATGAGGAGGAATCGAGCAGCGGTTATTGGATAAGACAGGCTCAGGAGAGCGTAGGACGTCGCGCAGGAATAGCGGGCGGCAGGGCGGGGGGCGCAGTGACTGGGGGAGCTGCTCGAAATGTGGTGCTGTTCCTCGGGGACGGTATGTCGGTGCCCACACTCACCGCTGCCAGGACCTTACTCGGCCAACGCGAGAGCCACACCGGGGAGGAGACGCACCTCTTTTTTGAAGACTTCCCCACCTCTGGCTTGGCTAAGGTAAACTAGTCATCGTGGGAGCACCTTTAAGGCGCACATGGAGGTATTTGTGTAACAGTCGGGGTCTGATCCCCACAAGGTTAAAATGTCTCCAATTAATTACGATTCCTCCAAAAGACTGGATTTTCAAATATCCAATGCCAAAATATATCAACACCGGATTTTGTTTAAATGACTAGGACACTTCACCTTCCATCAAGTGAACTCGTTTGTTTTCCTTTATTATAAAAAAACTAAGCAATATAAAGTAGTTCAATTGTGATTATGTGATGACTTATGCATACAACGAAAGAAAATATTAAACCTAAACCACTCAAGGATGCTTTAAACGAAATACATTTTCAGACGTACTGTGTTGACGCCCAAGTGGCCGACTCGGCATGCACGGCCACTTCCTACCTGTGCGGGGTGAAAACCAACCGCGGGACGATAGGTGTGACGGCGGCTGTTGAGCGGGGTGACTGTGACGCTTCCACTGACCGTTCCTCGCACGTCGAGTCCATCGCTACCTGGGCCCTGGCTGACGGGCGTGACGCCGGAATCGTGACAAGCGCTCGCGTAACCCACGCGTCCCCTGCTGGAGCCTACGCGCATGTGGCTCAACGTGACTGGGAGAGCGACGCCAACGTGCGCGCGGATCGACACGACCCAGACTCTTGTCCTGACATCGCCTATCAACTGGTGCACCAGCACCCAGGCGTAGATTTTAAGGTCACTTTCACCTGTCTTTCGAATTAATATTCAGACTAAACAATAATACCCCATTTTAGATTTCTCAGAGCTCATTTCTACCAAGAGACGTAGTTACTTTATTTTTATATTTCTCTAAAGTCTAGCTATCCACTCTATAGGTTATACTAGGTGGCGGAAGACGCGAATTTTTGCCGAGCAACACGTTCGACGAAGAAGGCACCCAGGGACATAGATTGGACGGTCGTAACCTGATCGAGGAGTGGCAAATAGACAAAATTGCGAGAAACGTGTCCTACCGTTACGTTTGGAATAGGGAGCAACTCCTGAACACGAACGACGACCTTCCAGAGTATTTATTGGGCCTCTTCGAGGGAAGCCACCTTCGTTACAACATGGAAGCTGACTCGAGGACCGAACCCTCCCTCGCCGATCTCACGGAGACGGCGATAAGATCTCTTCGAAGAAACGACAGGGGCTTTTTCTTGTTTGTGGAAGGTGGCAGAATTGATCACGCTCATCACGAGAACAGAGCCACATTGGCCTTAGATGAAACGATCGAGTTGAGCAAGGCTGTTGAACGTGCAGCGGCTATGCTAAGCGAGGAGGACTCGCTGTTAGTAGTGACAGCTGACCACGCGCACGTCATGGCCCTTAATGGGTACACGCACCGCGGCGGAGACATCCTCGGCGTCTCTGACTCCTTGGGCGATGACGGCATCCCATACATGACACTCTCGTACACCAACGGTCCGGGATACCGCGATCCAGTAGATGACAAAAGGGCTGACGTCACGAAGGACGAAGACTTTGGTAAGTAAGACACGGGCTGTGCCTGTGACTTCGTCCGCGTGGAATAATTATTATTTATTTTAGCTTTATAAATTATAGCTGTTATCTACGACGTCGCCCGCGTCCCGTCGAGTAATTGAGATTAGCGCGTTCAAACATACAAGCTCTTCTGCTTTATAACATTGGTATATCAATATATCAAATGACTTCATAAGTGCATTGTACGTAATGTTACGTTTGCGCTACACAGGTAGTCCTCAGTGGGTGTCGCCGGCGAGCGTGCCCCTCTCTTCCGAGACCCATGGCGGAGACGACGTTGCGGTGTTCGCTAGGGGGGCCCCAGAACCAAATGTTCACAGGCCTCTACGAGCAGAACAACATTCCTCACCTCATGGCTTACGCGGCCTGCATAGGACCTGGTTTACATGTGTGCGATCACTTATAAATTGTATCGAGTCGTATTATTAAGTTAAGCGTTTGTCGTTCGCGTTTAAATAAATAATGTACCATTACTTTTAATTAAATTGTAAATATACCTACCTTAACTCTTTTACTTTCATCGTAATCGTTTCGCACAGAAAGATGAGTCTTCAAATGATCATAAACATCCCTGTTGTTCTTTATTAAAATGACAGGGTATTTAAAAAAAAAAACTGCTCGGACAGAGAATGATGAAATATTGTTCCCGTATAGTATTATCACTAGAAATTGGTTATATTTTTCTATATCTAAAGACATTAAAATTATGCAAAAAACGTACTATATACACTTATACTCTTAGTTACACTCTATCCTACAAACGTACTATAGAAATTTTTAAATTATACTAGCTATGGCAGCGACTTCGTCCGCGAGAATCTTTATTTCGGGCATCCAAATTCGTTTTTGCAAACCTTTATAAACTAAAGCTGGCCCACGAGGCCACGACGTCGTACGCATCCCTCACCGTCGTTCTTGCCAGATAATTTTAAAAGATATCATATAGCGCCGCGGACTTTCTTTAAATCATTTAGAGAGGAATCAATCTACTACTACTACGCCTCGGAAACCCATGGTGATGAATAGTTATCCTAATTTTAGTCACCTTTTTCGCTGTATCTTCGCTCCTATTAGTCACAAGACGATGTTTTGTAGCCTATAGCCTTCCTCGATAAATGCTCTAACCAACACAAGAAGATGTTTTCTGTAGGTCCTGAGATAAGCGCATCTTAATGTCCAAAGAGACTTTAATGTCATAATTATTCAAAGTATGAATAACTAATACGATTCTTTAATAAACGTAATATAGTAAAGTACCGCCATCTGCTAATAAAATAGCAAGTATAAAAGAAAAATGTACTTCAAAATATCTAGTATAGGGCCATTTTTTAATATGTAACCGCTTGCTATTTCTTATTACACATGGATTAAGAAGTTTGGTTTTTTATCTTGTGAAAATGAATTTGATAACTTATTAATAAGATGTGCCGAGTGTTACCTTCCCTAACGTTAACGTCGTAAATTTATAATTCTACTATGTTTCTTATCGCGATATATAGTTTGTACTATAAAATCGATAATATTTTAAACCTCTATTTTTTTATATCGCACTTCAAAGCGATGGCTGTCAAGTATCACGCATCACTCAGTGACGTTAGGATCATCCTGCGCGCACGACTCGATCATCTCACGTTGATATTTAACCATATACATATACCTAAATAAACACTTATTAAAATGTACGTTAGTAGTGTTGAGTACTCACCATTGTAGGATATAGGAAAGCGTCATGTGTCAATTAATTGAGACACGACACGCGACAAATAAATCATGCGCATAACGCACCACCCTCGCCGTCGTTTAACGCATGCGATTTTAGCACCTATCTTGACGTTACTGGAGTGGTTTTGCTGTGACGATTTAAAAATAATCTAAGGGCGCGATGAATAATACGCCAAATCCGAGGCGAACCATTCAATTGTTCGAAAGTGCAACTGATCTAGTTGAAAAAAAAACGCTGCGATCTTATGTTATTTGAATTTAAGTCTTAAATAATTTTTACTAAACTTTGATAACACTGACGTTAATCCATAGATAAAAGAAAACACCTCCGTAACTTAATGATGAAACCAATTGTCTACCAGGGTTCGAATTAATTGTTTCGATCGGGCAGGGCACAGAAGTCTTATTAACTACTTGCATTTAAATCATTTAAAAATTTTTACAAGCTATTGCACCAGATGGTATTATATAAATACCAATTTTTAATCACAGTAGCGCAATTGGTTATAACAACAGCACGGATCGCTGCGGATGCCGGTTCAAGTCACACCTGTGTCAATATTTTTTCAATTTATAATTTACTTATATTTCAATAATACAGAATACTAAAACGTAACCGAAAAATGAGTTAGTCCTATAATACCCTACAGGGAAAAACGGGAGTTCACATATTGTTAAAATAAAATAAAACAATTAATGATTTGTTCTGTTTCTTTTGTTTCTAACTGCATAAATATAATTGAAAGTCTTGTATTTGGTAATTTTCATAAAATGTAACGAGTGTTCTATCTAAGAATCACTCCTTGGATCTAGGTATCGGTGCGTTAGTTCCCGGTCGCGCGGGGTGTCCTCTGGGGGCTTTGGGCCGCATCCCTCGGTCCGGCAGTCGACTCGAAGAGCTCGTGCCGACCTCGTGACGTAGCGCTGTCACAGCTCTACGTATTGGAGGACGCTAAACTTTTAACAAACCGCAGATTACATTGGAATTGTTAAGTGAAGTGATAAAAGCTAAAAGTGGACTATGTGGAGTGACGATTGATTGTGTTTTAATGCACTGAACGATAAGGTGAGTGATGTAGATAAGTCGAAAAGATTTCGAACGATGTTATTAATTTATTATGTCAAAATAACGATACCGCCTAATTTATTATTATATATCGTGATGTAAAAATTCTTCGTGTTATCGTTATCGAACTTAATTTGAGCGCTATCTAATCATGGCAGGATTTTTGGAACCTTGCATTTTGGGTGCAATAAATATCAAGGGATAAATAAAGTTTCTTTTTGTTGGTCTCTGAAGCTCAATGGTTACACGATGCTTATAGGCACTGTCTAATTTCTCGTTTTCCTGAATTTAAATCCCAGAATAAATTATAGTTTCAAACGGTCTGCAAATAAAATAATACAGTGAAACAGACACAGAAATATGTTCATCCCATGCCCCACAGATAGAATTGGAATTGCACACACCTTTTTCTTTTTTTATTATTTTGTTTTGTAAATAAATCATGCTAACTTGTAAAATTAATTGCGATATTTTTATTTTAAAAAGGTGGATCAACTATGGGGTAGATACATTAGGATTCTTTAATTGATACTAAAATACTAAACCGCCATTCCGAACTAAACTAAGGTAAGTTCGTTAATGTGTTATCTAAAGTATAGTATCTATAGACAGTACAATGAATCGTGTTAAGCTATGTGAGGGCTCGTGGCGACTCCTCGTCTCTTGTAAATTGTAATTGACTCGTTTTCGTTACTCGTTGCGTACGAATTTTAATTGGATCGATACGCGATCCTATTGTGGCTAGATTTCGAGTGTCCTTTGTTGCACGAGAGGCTTTTATTTCTGTCCGCGTCTCTACGAACTAGTATCAGGGTTCGGTGCTCGTGCGTGGAGTGTGCGGGTGATGACGATCCACCTTTGCACAACGAAATTATTCAGCATTGTGTTTCGGGCTTTTCGAAAGAGTTAATTCTTCGAGCTATCGAGGGCTAACATCTGATGATGCAATCCGCTCGTGGTGGCGAACAGTCCGAAAAACATTCATATGACGAGGAAACTTATAAATAAATTTTATTAATTTATTATATCCTTATTATTTATAATACACAGCAAAGAAAATACATATGAATGATGATTGTGATGACTCTAAAACTTAACAACTATATGACGTTGTCGATATTATTAAATAAATAGAACATTAAACGTACCTAATATAACTAACTTATCATTTCTATTGATATAAAAAAAATCATAAACAATTGGCCGAAAAAAGTCTTTCAATTTAATTCTGTCTCTACCTTCTATTGTCACACTGCAACTCACGGGGTTTTGTCTTATAGAAGTGAGGATTCAAGCCATCAAAGTCTGCAGTTTAATTGAAACATCTAAAGATTTAACAGAATTGATTTATAGCTTTAATTTAACATTCCAATATAATGTAGAACCTAATTAAAGGGAATTAAAAGAGGATTTATTGATTAAAAAACGAAAATAAATTGAAAAAAATGTCGACTCGGGCAGGACTTGAACCGACATCGTTCCGTGCTCTTGCTCTAATAGTACGGAAAGCAGACGATGCCGGTTCAAGTCAAATTATTTTCAATTTTTAATCTATATAGTGGCATCATGTGCAATAACATGTAAATAATATTAAAGTTTTTAAGAGTATTTATTGCCCTAAATCAATAAAAGAAAGACGTTTACAGTATTGTTGTAAAATTACATTTCTTCCTCTGATCCTTACCTGTCCACAGCTTTAGATAAGAGTGAGGCAGTAATTATCGGACCGTATTGCTCAATTCGAGTAGCGATTGCTTCATATTTGTTGAACGAGATTAATTACTGAAAATAACGAAGATAACAGTAGCGGGGAAATAATATATACTAATATTATAGAGCTGAGGAGTTTGTTTGTTTAAACGCGTTTGTCTCAGTAACGACTGGTTCGAATTGAAATGTTCTTTTTGTGTTGGTTAGAGCATTCATCGAGCAAAAAATTACGCTGCGACCAATACGAGCAAAGAAACCGTAGGACATGGAAATCATGATTCATCTTGGAGTGATTCGGTTGCATGCACTGCGAAAACGGTTTAAGAAACAAATAAAGAATATTAAAGAATAATTCCTCTTCAAATGATCCCAAAAAATGGCCGTGACAATATATATCTATCTTTTAAGATTCACTTACTATAACGACGGGGCGCGGACGACGTCATGGGTAACAGCTAGTCCGTAATAATATTAATAATCGATTATTCGAGACGTCATGCGACGGCCACGTGCCGATATCGCTTATCTCATCATCAGCGATATATCGCGTTTACTTGTCGGCAATCGATATAGCTAATCTTTTATAGTGTTCTTTACTAAAGGTCACATGTTTTATGTAAAATGTCCTTGTCGGTTTAATCCTGTAACTCGTAGGTCGAGCGATAATATTTATCGAATCATCGTGTTGAAATAGGAATCGATTAGGTGTTAACTAGATAATTGATATTAATAAGGACAATAAATCTAAGGTGTTAGAGGTTCTTTGAGCAATCGAGGAGCTAACATCTTCTGATGATGCGGTCTGCTCGTTACGGCGAAACGTTGAGAACCTCTTCTTGCTCACGTCGGCCGAACAGCTGGAAAAAAATGATATACAATAAATCTTTCTCTTGCATGAGAAGTATCAATCGATGAAAATGAGAATGCACATTTTCATGCAATGCAATGCATATAGACCTTAAACTTACTGAAATAGTGAGTATAGAAAAATGAAATCCATAAAATGCAAATAAAATAAAAACTATTGTTTAACTTTACTTAATTTAAGATTCTAAAACATGCCGTAAATCAATTACATACTATAATAAGCAATCGTATTGTTTAGGACAGGAGCGATTACATATGTAGATCGTTATATACAGCTATTATGGATTTTACTGTAAAAGTCTTCTTAAATATTTTGTACTTTTTATGTAGTATTGTTGAATCGGCAGGAAATGTCAAATAGGTATACAAAATAAATAATCCTCATTTATTTAGTTTTCTATGTCCCGTTAAGCTTTGGTGCTTATTTAAAAACATTTTAAACTGTTCAAAGTGTTTTATTTAAATTAGTGCTACTTGCGTAACCTACAGACAGTACTTAATAATAATGTTTATTTTTGTTCCTTCGAGCACTTCAACATCAGGAGATGTAGTTGTGGTCTCATCGTTCCGCCATTATTTTAATCTAATGCCCCGACAATCCAACCTCTGTATTTCTCTTTAGTTCTAAACATAAGAGGATATGGATGCGAAGACTCGATGTACTAAATGTGTATAACAGTTCACGCGCATTTAAGTAAGTAATTTTTAAATAAAGCACTCCAAAGTTTTTAAATCGCGAAACATATCAATTTATTTAGTTTTTACTACATTTTGGATGATGTACACAGTAGCCATGATCACCTATGATATACTACTGGCGTTAACTATAAAAAAAATTCCTCTGTTACAGATGATGAAGAATTACAGTAAAATGTGCTTTGTTCGTGGGTTTATGAGTGAACTAGTGTTTTGTAGTGAAGTGGGTCTCGTTGAGGCATAGTGTTGTGAAGTGAGCTTCAGAGACAGCGATGTACGAGCCGCTGCGTCCGCAGCGTGCTGAGCGTAGCGTGTAGCGGGCGAAATGGCGGACGACAATACTATCATCGAGGGAACTGTCAAGTTCCGTGACGGAAAGAAGGTAAGTCGTATTATTTTCAATTAAAATATGTTTCACCTTTTTTTTATAACCTACATATCCGAATCGAAGGACCATGTGAAATCTAGATACAATGATAACACCACCGCGGTTATGCACTGAGTTTATATTATAGTGTCACGCCCATAGTGCCAAAAGTACATATTACATAACATTCGCGAAACACAATAATCTGAATATATGAAAAAATTTAGATATTTTTCATATATTCAGTTGTTCGGAAATCCACAGACAGAAACCAAAACGCGATTAAAGCTGATGTCTTTATAAACCGAATAAAAATTCTATTTTCCCATTAACCATTTAATATCCAGATTTCGAGATGAAGTCATGTTTCAGATTTTTTTTAATTTATCAGAAAAATGTTGGACTCGTTTGTTTATTAGCCAAACATTGTTACCATTACACCAACGACGACGACGATCTGTCATAATAATTGATTAATTTGTACTTTTCAAACCACCATTTTTGTCGTTCCTGGAACCCGGAATTAAAGAATACGTCATCAGTCTGGAAAGCCATTAGGTTTGCTGAGTATTCAAATTATATTGACTATTACAAAAAAGATCTAAGATCGGATGAATCTTACTTTTATTACATAATATCAGTACTCATAACATTTGTTATATATTTAGTATTCTAATAAAGGGATCGATAATAATGAATAAAATATATTATAGTGAACTCAAAATTATTATTATATAATAATTTTGAGTTCACTTTCTAAATAAATGATAACTTTCCGGTACTATAAATGACATTAGCTTTATCACTTAAGGGTAATTATACTTTTGTCCTTAACCATTAAGAAGTTTAGTGCAGCATGTAGATATGTTCGTTTGTTTCAGTGGAAGTCGAGATGGTGTGTGATGCGGAAACTTTCACCTGTCGCGGGTAAGTTACGTTCTCTTTTAATCCTATTCTACCTTTATGATTATTAAATGTATTGCTAAGCTTAATCGATGTCAAAGCAAAATGAGATACTTAGTTGTTGAGGTAGTTTTTCGTCGTACGGCTCCCTCAAAGCACCGTGGTGTGTTTAGTGGTTCTGGTCGCCCATACGATGTAGCACACTCACCACGTCGCTATTGCCCGACGTGGGCGTGCGTTAGGCATTCAAGACATCAGTTAAAAAAAGGCTTTACCTACAGGTGACAGCGAAACGTCAGAACACCTTCTCACAATAAATCCTTTTTTTATAAGTATTCTCATTGTAAAATGAAATAATATTCGACGAAATCGCACGTCGCATTTAAGCTGCGGTCACATGTACAACTGACAGGCGTCGAGTACTAATTAACAACTAATTTATTATCGGCATTGACTACCGGAAATCTTCAACCGCATTTAATCAGTGATGCTGTTAAACGTAGAAAATAGTGTAATATTTCATTTTTTATTATAAAGCTCGTCGGGTACTAAATGCAGTCGCTTATATTACATTTAAATTTTTTACACTTATAACATATTGATGATTGAAGTTTGGTTGACAGTTGATAGAAAAATGTAATAGTGAACTAACAGAAATGCAAATACGTCGTTTATATTTGTAGATATAATATGTTTTTTCCGCATTTGATGATCGTTTTACACCTTACTTTATATATATATAAGAAAAATATAGCTGTCATTTCCACATAAATAGATTACATAGTCTAACATGAGTAGAAAAAAAATAATTAACAAAGTTTAACGATCTCGATCGATTTTTTGGTCTATCAAATTGGTTTAGCTTATGTGTGGTCCACCCTGGGGGAGAATATGACGTCACGCAATGATGTGTCGTGTGTGGTCAGCGAAAGAGAACGGCTCTTTTATTGAAGGAAATAGATGTTTGGTTTCTGACACGAGGGCTAAGCTAATAAACGACGCGATTGACGATGTGTCTAATTGATTCGGCTGCGCATTACATACGCACACGATGCGAGGGTGTCGTCTCACAAAGCATTCGACCCGATTATTTTCGACTTCATAAAACACGAAGAATGGACGCCGCTCGGGGGTTCCCCTCTGCGCCTAACGCGGCACTTTTTCAAATACGTCAATGTTCGAGAATTGCAACTTTTCGTGCGAGATACCCCTTCGATCTAACTGAACCCTATTCGAAGCAAAACATAAAGTTAGATTTCCCATATGAAGCAACTTGTAAGGTTCTATTGAATAGTCCTTATTGAACATTTAAAATTCGAAAGTGGGGGCTCCACTTAACTTAACTTATTAACGTAGAAACGAAATATTTAATTATTAGAATTGACTAATGCATCATTCTTTTGTTTTGAATGAAGATTTCTAGCAATAATTATAAAATAAGATGGTATACTTTGTTACCATGTTGTAACATGGTTTTCTTGGTATTTATATTTATTTTATTAAGATAAAAAATTAAATTTGTATAAACTTCTGCAACTTACGTCGTTTCCGTATATAAATTTAAAAAATATACAAACAATTAAATCAAAAGTTAAAACAAAAAAATACCAGTTCAATACTTTTGCTTTGTCTATATATTTAAATAAAACACTTTAACGGTTAAAAACGCGATATGTTCAGTTAAACACGAGTCTTCTATAACCATGGCTGCTGCTAAGCAACCGAAAAGTCGCGGCGTAGATAAAATAGAATCCAAATAAATTTAACTAATATATATCGCATTTCAAACCGTTAGAAAGTTTTATTTAAATGTGTACTACTCGCGTAAACTACTCTTTGACTATGTATGTACAGCATAATATATTATAGACAGCGTGCAGCTGTTGGTCTATCGCGAGGCGAAGGCGCGATGGGGCGGAGGCACCAAGGCGTCCCTAGCTCTGCAGCAATATCTCGGTTGCGAGAGCGGCTTCACCTTGGACAAGCACTCGCATACCCTCGCTCTTCTCTGCGCTCACTTCACCGTCGTCCTTGCCTTCGAAACGCGCGAGCGCCTGATGCAGTGGCAGGTGAGGTTGACGCTGTCCGATTGCCTACTTGAAATATATACCCAACCATTGAGGACTAGCTGTCTAGCGCAAACGTAATATTACGTACAATGCACTTATAAAATGATAAATCTATGCTAATATTATAAAGCTGTATGAAATAATGATTCCTCTTTAAATGATCTAAAAAATGTCAGCAACAGTTATCTTAAATTTATTTTTTTGTTTAATTAACTTGCAAGAACGATGGGACGCGGACCGCGTTGTTGATAACAATTATAATTTATAAAGCTGAGGAGGTTTTTTCGAAAAAAAATAATAATGATAATTATGATACCCAAAATAACTACTCCACACGGCTGAAGTCGTGGACTCAGCTAGTTTACGATCATGCGATTCTCATGACGCTTCTCGTACAGGTGAAGGTCAGCTCGCATCTTGGCGAAGGCCGGCAGTACCTGGTGGTGGTGTGCGCGGGTGCAGCGGGGGGCAAAGGTCGTGTCCCGACTGGTCCGGCGCGGCTCCACTTACATCGAAGTCGGTTCGCGCTCACCGCCGGTGTTCCGCCCCGACTGCTTGGTGTATGGGAGATAGCACATCTACGGTGGGCCATCTGCCTGTATACATTTACCGACCACTATCATATTGTGCCATAACTTGGACATAAGGTTTTAAGAAATAAATCAACATATATGATATTAAATATAGATAGTACAAAGGTAAAAAGATACATAGATAATACAATATAAATTTTACGAACTAATTTTTACACTAATTTGATAGAAAGGTGAGATTTAATGTTATACATACATCAGTCACTACACCATCAATCAATAAACGACAACTTATTTAAGATGTAAGATGCAATACGTAAAAATAATCAATAGCCACTGACCTTCAATATCTACTACTACTATATCACTGTGTTTTGTGTTTAATAGAAAACCAATATTTTGCGTTTTAGATCATAGTATGAGTATTTCTTTTGTTTCTGATTCATTAAGTGTACTATTATTTCTAATTCGGCACAAGCTTAAATATTAAGCTTTGACAATTCATCTGTTAAGATTTCAAGGTATAATGTCTCCATATTTAGATTTGTTTGTTGTCATGTAAAATCATCAGTGGTTTTTAGATGGTACACATTTTAATATTACGTTGTTCACGAGAAAACGTTCCAACTTTGAAATTGATGTAGTATGGTGTCAGGAAGGTGGCAGATCTGCATTAAAGAAGAAGGCTAGCCAAACCAAGACGAGCTATTACAATTTATCGTCAGTTTTATTTATTCATAATACTAATAATAAAAGCTTTTTTTATTCATGATAAACCTTTGCAGGCGTTACGGCGTGATCGACGGAAAGTTCTGTTTCGAAGGCGGGTCGCAATGCGGCAAGGGAGAGGGCTTGCACGTGCTAGTGTCGGATCAGGCCGCTGATATCCTTAGGGACTTTGAGCTTGCCTCAAGGGGACAGCTCTCGCCAAAGCGAAGGACGTTTTTGACCAAGCTCAATGAAGGTAAAGTTTAATCATAGCATATCGAACGAACTTAATGATGGAAATAATTATTTTATTTCTTTTATCATTTTAGGATTAGAGAGCCCGAGGTCACAAACAACTTTTAGGCCAGAGATGCGACGCGAATTAAATACGATAGACAGGTCACTTCCACCAACGGATTTGCGTCTATACGAAGACCCATGTCTTGGAGCAGAAACGGGAGCCATCTCGCCTTATTGGCCTTCCACAGAGAGGACTCACTTCGATGATATGGGACTCGGAGACACCGCTTCCGTCAACGAAACAATAGACGGTTCCGAATCTGCGCCCTGGAACGGGAACGGAAATGTGATGTTAGAGAGGTGTATGAGCTGCATGTCTAAGTTGGGTGCCCTGTCAAGGTCGTCAACAGCCGCTTTGACCCCGGGAGCGAAGCACTTCAATCCCGCATGGACAATGGAAGAAATAGAAGAGCCACGGCCTGAGAATATTCAAAATGCTGAGCAGGCGGCGCCAGATGTATCTCATAAGTCAAAAGCGGATAGCGTCTGCAGATGCGCAATCGAGAAACTGCCCGAGAGGCCGCCAAAACCTAACAGATTAGACTTGAAATTAGCAAAGAAACCACCGCTGCCCGTTCCTGTTCGATCGTTTAGCCACGCATATTTATCATCTATTCAAGAAAATTCGTCTCCAAAGATAGGCCCTTATGAAAACTATGACGTACCAAAAATACCTTCAGCTGAGGTAGCTTAACTTTTGTGTTTACTATTTTTTAATAATGCCATTTGTTAAAGTATTGTCTTCTTTGCAGGTGGATGGTGAGTTTTACGATACACCGAAGAGACTTAAGGAATGTCTCAACAGTGAATTATTTAAAATGACAAAAAGTTCTTCGGCCAACACGATCGTGTTGAAAAAACCATGCGGTTGTTTACTGAAATTCGGTAAAAAAGCAAAACAACCGAAAATTGTGGACTCGGAAGAAAACTTCCAAGCGTCGAGCTGCCCTTGTCAAAAGGTAACGGACTGGGCTAACAGTTGGATCAAACTTCCATATTGTAATAAGACCGTTGAAAATACCGAAAACATGATGACTGAGACAGAGAACCTTACGCCCCACGTTGGTGACAAGAACGCTTTGTATGCGACGATAGATCTTTCTAGAAAAACTAGAAGAAAATCTCTCCAACTTGACTATCATTCGACTGACAGCGTAGAACATAGATCATTAGATAACCCTGAGATCGACGACGGACCTCTAGCAAACTATGAAAATTTAAATTTTGCTCTTTCCTTAGAATACTACGAAAACGCCAAAGATCTTTTAAAGAAGGCTGGCGTAACACAACACGAACTCGACGCTCTGAGCGCCAACCTCAATTCGGCGGGCTCAATTAATGAAGCAAAAACATGCACTTCATGTGGACATCCAGAAAGGGTGGAAAGGCTACGAGGTATGACGACACACGACGAGTACCTTATGATGGAGCCTAACTCGATAGAGAGCAATAAGTACGAGCACGAGAAGAGTGGCTACACTCCAATGTCACCGATTAGCGGTTTCGCTTTTCATACTCTAAAGCACCCCGCAAAGAGTCCGATTGGCCGATCGCTTGATGAGAAATCTGCGAGCAATCCGACTCTGTGCGGTTCGGAAGAGTCGCGTCAGACACGTCCTGGCGTCAACGATGGGGTTCAGCTTCGAGTGGCTCACGAGCGCACCGACTACAGGAAGAGGTCTAGTTCCGCGGACTCGTCGAGGTTTTTGGAAGATGTGAAGGAGTTTGAAGGCAGTGTCGGTAGCCGTGGATCTGCCTCGTCTATAGAGACCCTCCGCGATGGTGGCACGCGGGGCCCGACACCCGGAAAACACTCCGACGCTGATAGCTCAGAAGCCTCCAAGAGCAAAGGGGGGATCGCAGCCGCCGCTGGTAATCGTGATTCATCGAGTTCCAACGACTCCGGAGTCTCGTCTTGGTCCTTGCGCGGTGATCCGGCTGGAGGAGCCGCCGACTTTGAGCTACCGGCGACGACCGCAGCCACTCGTCGTCGCTATAGATCCGCAAGAAGAGCTCACGACCCACACGGCGCTCATGAGATGCCTCGTCGCTCGCGCTCATCGTGCGGCGCAAGACAGGAAGAACCGCAACCTCAGAAGTGCTGTTCTGCAGAGGCCGAGGTCCCCGTACTCTCTGGCAAGACGTTGCGGAGCGTGGCTGACAGCCGCAGTACTTCAAGTGGGACCTCCGACATGTCTGACTACATCGAGACGCTGTCAATATGCTCCTCACATTCCTCCTCAGACACGCCCGTTACATTGAGGTAGAGCTCTGTACTTTATTTTTGTGATCGCAATACGGATCAGGTCATTTAAGTAAGTATTTCTTTTGCAGAGTGGTTCGCCAGACGACTAGCACCCTCCGACCGCGCTCCGGCAAGGAGTACAGCCCGCTGGCGAGCGGTCTTCGGGCCGTCTCGCAGCCCTACCGCCATCTGCCGTGAGCTATCATCTAAACTTATCTTACACGCGATAATCACTTTTAACCTGAAGCAATAATAATAGATATAAAGAAAGTGCGTTACTTTTTGTTCACGTTACAACCACAGCCCATGAAATAATATGTTGCGTAAGACATATCTGTAAATTTATTTTGAAAATATATCATCTCATTAACGATATTGTGTAATGAGAGTTTAATCTCTACTAGTCAATAAATCATTTCTGTTCGACATCATCAAATAAGAGGTATTATTTCGTACTTCAGCCGAATGTAATGACTGTTTCAGTAGAAAAGGTCCGTCCACGATCGATTCGCCATTATCGACGACCGGTGCAATCTCATATCTATTTGTTATCTTATCGCATTAATGTAACAGTCCAATATTTATTAGCACTGGTTTATCCGCTAACGATGCGCCGACGGTCGTCTTAGCCGCGTTAATCCGCTCCTCATAATGTTATTAGATCGAAATCTATCGCAATAAACCTTTATATCGGCCGTAACAATATATCCACATTATTCGTAGAATAAGGAAAAGATCTTTTAATAATCTTTTACTGTACTCACTTATACTCAGACTTTTACTCGAATCCGAAGCGTCTTATACCTAATAATTTATCGGTTTCATTCGAGAACTAAACGAATTATTATAGAACAGGTAAAGGGATGTTTCTTTCTAGTCATTTTTACATAAATCGAATTAGAATATGAACGAATGTAAATAACGTAATCTCTTCGTTTACGCTCGTCTCTAACTCGTTACTGCGATTATATTTTGATATTTAGAGTTTATTTATCGTAAGTTGGATATTGTGAATATTGAATTGTGAAGTCTGAATGTACTCAGTTAGGGTCTTAGTTGCCATTATAGCAATAAGCGCCGACCGGTGCGGGATGATGTTGAGCATCTCTATTGTAAAATGTAAAATAAATTATATTAATTTTATTATTATCATAGAGAATGCGGCGTAGCTGTGCGCGAATATATCATTTCAATAATATAGAATCGTGAATCACAAACGTGTTAAATTTATTTATAATGCCATATGTTCGTGCGCAACACGTCGTTTAGATTTACGCTAGAATGAATTTATAACTAACTAATGTTAACTCGAATTTCTAAATAAAGACATAAACAATATCGCATCTTTTATTTCCTCTGAGGGCTGTAGGGTGGCCGCCTTGTCCCGTCGAAAAAATGTCCCGTTTATGTGGATCGCGTTATCGCGCACTCGAATGACAAAGAAAAATTATCTCGGTGTAATGACGTACTCGAAACTGAGTTAGGGGAGATGTTAATTAGCGAGTCATCGGTATCTGCGAAACGGAGGATCGAAGGAGGTTTCACTTTATTTTTTGGATCTATTGTTATAGTAGACATGTTGATTTTTTTATCATTGACACTTGCTGGTTGGTGAAATGAACCTTCCATATAAAATCTAAACAAGATACGCTGTATACACCCATCTATCGACATCTATTTTAGTTTTGGATAACGGAAATCCACAGACTGAAACCGAAACGCGACTAAACATTGGCGGCTTTTTTATCTGTGGACGGTAGTTCGTCACCCGAACGAATTTCCGGTAATCCTACCACCCATTTTATATCCAAATTACTAGACGAAGTCCATCATGTTTCAGAAAAATTATAAATTGATTAGAAAAATGCACCAGGTGTGGATCAAACTCGCCCCTTGATTATTAACAAACCCGTCAAACAATAAATTATCAAGTATGTTTAATAATCCAGTTCAGCCAGTATCTGTAAAAATCTTATACGAAAGAACAGATACTAACTTACATGCGAAATGAGTTTTATTCAGATGTATATTTGTTGTAAGATTGTAATGTGAAAACCGCCCGCGTTTACACTCCGCGGCGCCTACCCCCAGTCGGGTTATACTGCTGTCGTTATGTGTAGATCCGGGGCTCGTTAAATTATTTACGACTCCCGTTATTATTTTAGTGACGGAGTTTTATTGACGCACTGTTTGTGCTGTACCAAGTGCAGTTTGAGGAACGCTGATTCCAGAGCTGCATATAGTTTTCAATACTGTAATATTTGTTTTGAAATCTAAAGATGTTCCCTTCAGTTAAGTTAATTGAATATTGTTAAATAAAAAAACTTTCAACGACCGAGATTTACGAGTCTAAAGTAATCATGACTTTTTTTAACTTGAAAAAGCTTACGTAACGCAGCGGTTTATCAATAGAAAGTTATCAGCGCCAAATATCCTGTCATAATCATAAAATGTATAATAATATAAATTTAAAAAGTAAAGCAATAATTATATTGTAAAGAAATAGTTTAAGTGATTAAATTCTAAATCAATTAAAATGTTCTCTAAAAATTGCTCAAATTAAGCTTATAATTTTTAAATAAAACACTTTAACGGTTTAAAACGTAATATATTAGTTAAACTTATTTGAAAATTATTTTAACTTCGGCCCGACGTTTCGGATGCTATACAGCCGTGGTCACGGGGAGAGAGTTAAAACATGTACTATGTCGAAAAGCATAAAGGTTTAAAGGGATCGAGGGATTAAAAATAGAACATAACTGTATGTAAAATTCCCTCGTTTTCACGAAACAAATAGTATTACGAGTGTCTATAAATGCACTTCGTTGTGCTCAATTAATCAGCGCTAGTCTGTGGACGTGTCGCGTGACAGACGAATAACGACTTCCACTTCCGTTTCCGGTGCGAGTCTGCGTGACGCGTGCTCTCTACGCTGACAAATATCGCCGTTTTCCCAAAAGTATCTATAAAACATAATATATTTTATTACGACATATGTAATATACAAAAACCACAAAGTATTTCTAACGAGCGAAGTAAAATATAAAAAGTAACACGACATAATAATATGTCATATATTATATACATACGCCGTAAAGTATTTTTAAACGAAGTAAAATGTATTTATACCTTGTTAGTCTAATTCATCGGTTTTGATGTCCAAGAAATGAAAAAAAACTGATATTTTTAAGAAAACACTTAAGCGGTTTAAAAAGTGAACGTTGAAGATTATTAAAATTAAAATAGATGGCCGCACGTTTCGGATGCTTTGCGGATGCCGTGGTCACGGGGAGACAGAAGTTAAAATAATGTTAAAATAAGCTTAACTAATATATATGGCGTTTTAAACCGTTGAAATGTTTTATTAAAATGTGAACTACTTGCGTAAACTACAGACAGTATTTGAAAACTAATTTATTTATCTATCCAAGGATACTTTGAATTAAAAATAAAAGAGAACTCCAAATTTAAGTTATTACTGTTAGTTTATCAAGTAAACTATTCCTTCATGTAAATATAATACGAATGACATAAAAAGTAACTGAGAACTCAATGCAGTGTCATCCGTTGCACCCGACCGGATGCACATAAAATGATAAAAGGTTATTTGTGCGAATGCGTCTGTGCTTCGGAGCCTCGAGCGACCGGAAGTGACGACATCACTCATTCCCTCTACAATAACACGCGCTGCATGGCTCCGGCGCAGCGGAGAAATGTGTCATAAAAACATCTACATTATATGTAAAATGATTGCGTTGATTTAACAAGAGTCGTAGTAGAAGCACCGTAAAGCTAACTTAACTACAATTTACAAAACAGGAAGGACTTGAACCGGCATCCACAGAGTTCCGTGCTGTTGCTGGAACTAATTGAGCTACCGTGCCCTACATGTCATGGTCGAAATTTTTCAACCTAATCATACAAGCGCCATCTTAAATTGTTTTTTTATTAATTACTAACTGTGCCCGCGACTTCAATCGCATGGAATAGTAACTTGGGGTAGAATTTTTAATTATTTAGACTGTTTATTAATTTACGTAATTGCGTATTTATCGCAGCCAATGTTGTAAGTACTACTTTGCCGCAACACTCTCACCTCACATCACTCCTACTCTAACTCCCACTCCCACTCCTATTCTCAAAAAGCCAAAGAAGAAAGTTTCAATGTTCTATTTTCAAAAACCACGAATTTCCATACAAACTTGTTCAATGTTCAACAATGTTCTCATCATTCAAATCCGTTCAGTAGTTTTGGCGTGAAAGAGTAACAGACAGACAGAGTTACTTTCTCATTTATAATATAAGTAAGGATGTGTTAAAATATTAAAGTTTTCAAAGTCCTTATTATAATGCATAATGATTAGTTTCGTTATGTTCGTAGCGAGGTGTTTAAGCAGTAGGAGTCTCGTAGCTCACCGTAGGCTCAAAAGAGCTCTCATTACCGGAAAATGTCGGATCTTGTGAAGCCTTTCTGAATTTTTCAAATAATTCATTCGACCGATTTTTGTTTGCATTCTGACGCCATTATGATGTCGTTCTTTTAAAACCACATTTTTGTTCGAAACGCTTTTCCACTACGTTAATGATTTTCGCTCCGGATGAAAAGTGATAAGATTTTCATTCTATAAAATTATAGAAATCACTATGTTGAATAAAATCGGAGCTCGGAATATTTTTAATGATGCACGATTTTAATTGATCTTTGTTATATTCGTTGTAAGTCGGCTATAGTTATTTTGTACGCACTTAATTATTACACCAAATATTTTAAACTACATCCATTGTATGAAAAAATAATAGTTATATGGCTAACTGTCTAGCGACTTCGTATGCGTAGAATAGTTATTTTGCGCATCAAAATTTGTTTTTGAAAACCTCCATTATAACTGACACCCGCGACGTCGGTTGCGTCCCATCGTTCTTGCAAGTAAGCCTTTAAAGATAGACGGAGATTGTTTTAGATAATTTAAAGCGGCATCATTATTTCATACATATGTATGAAAAGAATTATATCTTGAACATTTTTCTCAGCGCTGTACATTTCCAGCTGTATCTTACGTCTTATTAGGTACCACGCAATGCATAGCCATCATGGATAAATGCTCTAAGCAACAGTAGTTCCTGAGATCAACGCGTTCAAACAAACAAACTTCAGCTTTATATATTAGTATAGATACAAAATGTAGTTATAAAAATAT